GGCCTGGAGGGGGTTGGAGGGCGACTGTGAAGGAGTCTGTGTCTGGGGGGGTCATTTTGGTTTGCGGTTGAGGTGTTGGTGTCGCGTCGGAGGTGGGGAGCAGTAATGAGAGATTCAGGGCTGTCACTGTTGATCCGTCGAGGAATTGACCATCATGAATTGAATGAATGTATTCGTAAATGATTGATGCTCTCTGTATGGAGAGCGAAGAGAGGATAAGCCTTATCAGTCTATCAGCTGCAACTGGTGCAAACAACACAAAGAGTGCAAACATGGCTGGATTTTCCATTCGGCATATCCCTCTCGGTGAAGTCCTACCAGAAAATATACCACATCAGAGCTACCTAGATGTCTCTCTATTACGACGCGGTCTCGGTCCTGACTGCCCCCGCATCAACAGGCGGCTCCTTCAAATCGCGCATCTACAGCTCGCGGAACCTCAAATCCTCCCCGGCGCAAATCTACGCGCTGGTCATCGAGGCCTCGAAATGGGATATCCTCCTCAAAGAGGTCATTGAGGCCGCGGGGCTCCTCAAACAAGAGCCCAAGGTAGCTACAGCCAACTTTTTTCTATCATTGTAGATATTCCTGCTGACTGACCAAGACCTGTGGTTGACCAGCTCACCCCGTTACTTGCCCTGCTCCTCGTCCACGACCATCTCCTCGCCAAGAACGGCATCGCCGCGAACGCAAACCATCCGCTCCGCCAGGCGGTCGAGAGACACAAGACGCGACTGAAGGGGGAATTCATCAAGGCGCGCGTGCGCCGCGGATGCGCCTCGATCCCCGATCTGAAGGCCGCCGTGCTGCGCGAGAAACAGGCCGCGCAGGGTCTGCTCGGGGGTTGTTCGACGGCGGTGTATCCGCGCTGGGTGCGGATCAACAACGTCCGCACGACGATGGAGGAGCAGCTCCAGTCGACGTTCAAGGCGTATACGAGGGTCACCTCGCTCGCGCAGCTAGGGGATAAAGACGAGGCGAAGCTGTACGTTGACCCTCACGTGCCGGATCTGGTGGCCGTCGCGCCCGGCGTGGACTTCACCTCGTCCCCTGCGTACAAGAACGGGCAGATCATCCTGCAGGACAAGGCGTCGTGCTTCCCGGCGTATCTGTTGCTTGGGGAGAGCGAGGCGTGGTCCGGCGATCTGCTGGATGGCTGCGCGGCGCCGGGGAACAAGACGACGCACATGGCTTCTTTGCTTGCCAAGCATGCCGCCGGCAAGAACGCAACCCGCCGCATCTTCTCCATGGATGCTTCCAAGGTGCGGTCCAAGACATTGCAGAAAATGGTCACCGCCGCGGGCGCGGACAACATCGTCACCGTCCTCCCGGGCCAGGATTTCCTGGCGCTCGACCCCGCCGAGTCCCGCTTCGCAAACGTCACCGGCCTCCTCCTCGACCCCAGCTGCTCCGGCAGCGGGATCGTCGGCCGCGACGACGTCCCCAAACTCGCCCTCCCCGTGGCTGCATCCACGCAGACCGGCAAATCGCAGGGGAAGAAGCGCAAGCGCAGACATGACGACGAGGAGGAGACGCAGCCCGCGGACGCTGCAGCCGCCGCGTCAGCCACAGACGAAAACGAGTTCTCGAGCGCAACCCTCGACCCGGACCGTCTGACCAAACTCTCCAACCTGCAAGCGCGCATCGTCGAACATGCGCTCAGCTTCCCGGCCGCCACCCGCGTCACGTACAGTACGTGCTCCATCCACCTGATCGAGAACGAGGCGGTCGTTTCTCGTGTGCTGGCCTCGGACGTAGCGCGCTCTCGCGGCTGGAGGATCATGCGCCGGGAGGAGCAGCCCGACGGCATGAAGGTCTGGCCACACCGCGGTGTGAGGACGGAGAGCCGGTATGGTGATGCGGAGGGTGATGGGGGGGCTGCTGCTGCTGTCGATTTATCTGATGAACAGCTGGAGGCTTGTTTGCGGTGTTGGGCTGGTGACGAGGAGGGCCTCGGTGGGTTTTTCGTCGCGGGGTTTGTGCGTGACGAAAGCCTTGCTGCTAGGGAAGCGCAAGTGTCTCCGCGTATGGACGGGGATAAGGGAGGCAGTGATGAGGACGAGTGGGAGGGCTTCTCTGATTAGCATTCTCCTGTGATTACATCTAGGAGTAGGTTACTAAAAAATGTATATAGCATTGATTAAGTGAACAAGCGTCAAGAACCCAAGAACCCTCTGGAGCGATTCCTCATCCTCTCCTCGGTGTAGACATCCAACTTGACCGCTATCAAAACCAACTCTGCGCTCGCTGCGGGACCAGAGTCAACCACTAAACGCCACTGTCCGTTCCTCACTACCAGACACCCAGACTCTAGCTCCTCCTCCACTCGCTTGCGTTTCGCAGGTGGCCGCTCCGAGGATTCCGCAGTCCCTCCTGGAAAATCCAGGTAATCGACTGCCTGCCCGTTGAGGATCAGCTCGGTCTCGGGCTCGAACCGGATCGAGAAACTGTCGCCGCCTGTGGATGGGTGTGCTGGCTCCCCAGTCCTGTATAAGGAGCCTCCGCCCTCAAGGTCCAGTTTTTTGGCAATCACCTGGGCCAAGCTCGCCATGCGCGCTTTCGCCAGGTTCAGGAACCCCGCGCGCATGGTGCGTGCGTTGAGAATCGTGCTTTCGTCGCCGATTTCCAGGATCAGGTCGTGCGGTGTCTCGTCCACGAAGGGGCGTGCGTACGTCACGCGGTCGCGGGTTGGGGATCCGGTGTGCTTGGAGTTGTCGTCGCGTGCATGGCGGATTCCAGAGGGCCGCACGTCGTCTAGGCGGATGACGATCTCCGACCGTTGCGGGATGGGATTGAAGCTGATGTGGTGCGGGATGAGTTTCTGTTCTAGTCCGCGCAGGTGGAAGTAGCGACAGTCCCGGAGGAGCTCGGCGCGGTGCTCCTCATTCCTGATCTGGAGGGGGTATCCGCGAAGGAGGTGGAGGAGCTGTGCGAATACGTCGCCTGAGCGGTGGGTAACGCGTGGAGGGACGATGGCGGGTGGGCGCAGCAGACCGTGACGGTCTAGGCCGGGGAAGATCTCGCTCGGGTTGGCGAAGAAGATGGCGAATCCGAGGGAGAAGAAATTGGGGGAGTCGCCGGGTCCGGAGAAGATGTCGCGGGAGATTTGGAAATGGCGTTCGCCGATTTGGATGAAGATTTGCGATTCGAATAGCTGGGAGATCAGTCGGGGTACTGCGTGGGTCAGTCTGTCGTTCAACAGATAGGAGGGGACTCCATACAGGTGTAGAATTGGGCGTCCGCAAACAGTTTGACAAACTGCGACTCATCCTTGGGTTCTACGTGATAGCCTGTTGACCCGTTAGATCCTCACCTCCGAACACGGGTCGGGCGTCTCATCCTACCCTGTAGATGTCTGGCAATCTCTCGAAACGTTTCTGGATCCCGGTCAATGTACAGCGTCCGGATATTCGCGTTCTCTCCGTTCTGGCGCAGTTGTTCTTCGAAGAACTGGGAGAAATAGGACGGGGCTCCAGGACGTTTAGCAGGAGGTATCACAGGCGCGAGCACTTCAACTGACCGTCGGAGGCGATCGAGGCCCCGGAAAGACGAAAGAGCTCGGTTCCAATCTGGATCGAAAAGACCTTTTCGGGGGGCAGCGTGGACTTGGCCCTTTTAGTAGGGGAAGAACCTCGTTGCGAACCGGAGTCGTTGCTGGCCATGTTTATTTGCCCTTCTCCTTGTTGGGTCAGCTGTATCTCCTCCCCAGTACTCATTGACGGCTCGGACGATTGAGGTCGCAGTACTCGGTCTAGGGAATAGGTGTGGTCGGCCAACCTTGCGCGTCGTTTAACTGACAGTCAGAGTTGTCTCAGGCTAGATCAAGGGCCGTCATGCGACGTTCAGAAAGACAGCAGTGACACCTGAGTTGTGCATTGGTGTTAGTGGCCGAAGCTGGAGGCAATGTGGGTGTGTTCAACTTACGCCTGAAACATTGGCAGGAATAAAGGATGGAGCAGCAATTAATCAATTCAATTCAATTCAATTCAATCGTGGATACAGCTATTCGGTGCACATGGACGGAGGAGCATCTGCTTGACTGAAGAGGTGACAAGTGGTGAGCGATGATGGGCGCTTGAGATAAGGCGCGCGACCGCAAACCGGGGCGTGACTCGTGGGATTTGCCAGACTTGGAGCATCTCCATGCATGACCATTCTTTCAATCAGAGGTGCAGCATACTTCAATTAATCATGTCAAAGGCTTATTATGCTTCACTCTATACAATCACTAGGAGATGGGGAGACCTTTTTTTCCCGGTGACAGATACTCCATGTGTACAGAATGTGAACAAAAGTGCATCAGCAACAACCACTTGACTAAATGGCATAGCAGGCATGACAGCATTCCTGACAATAACAGTATTCTGTATCAGTCGACAAACTGCCTTCTTGCGATATCAATTGACAGCAAAGACCATGATTCTCTTGTCGTTGGAGGTGGGAAAGACGACGACGAAACCACGAAACCATTTCTGGAGCTTTGAGAGCATCAACACAGCAATCTATCTGGAAATCGGGGAATCAATGGTGTCCATATTGATCAATTGTCCCTCAATCCGAAGAAAATGGATGTCTCCCTCGAAAGTGTTCACATGTATCTACTCTGTAGATCCCGACGAGAATGAACGACAATGGATCTCGGCTCAATCAAGGTCGATCAATCCTCTTCCCCGCACAACTCCAGACTCATCACTCGACTGATTATGGGACCAACGGGAATGATAGGCCTTCTAGAGCGCTATGGCGTTAATTATGGCCATTCGCCTTCGACCTCCATCCCCAAGAACGGCTGATCCTCCCCTCAGACCACTCTTTTAACGACCCTCTGTGCTATTTAGACTCTCCGGGCCTCGACCCACCGCGTCCCAAGCTCAACATCATGGCCACTGCCTCGGTTTCTGGCCATACCGCTCCAGGTTTCTATGACTCCTTCCATCTTCAGTGAACCGTCGAAGCTGACCTGGTTTGAGACGGCGAACAGGACAATAAACCTTGACAGGTCACCGAATCATCCCACTGGAAATCGCCAATAACAATTCTAATAATTGGAAGGAAGGGTGGGAGCGGGCTTCGGGCTAGTTCGCAAGCATTACTCTTCTGGGCAGAGCAGTAGTTTGCCTAGGAAGGAGCAAGCTATATACGGATACTGGAGTATCTATACTGAGGCAGCCACCGCCCCTTTGCTGCAGGAGGAAAGCATCACCAGGACGTTGTTTATCATCACGCCGCTCCCCGCTGTCTTTCTTCGTGTTTCTGCTTCACATCAAAGTGCGGTCTATTCTTGACGGCCTTGATCCTCGTCTTGGTTGACCTCGATTACTCTCTTCAGGCTTATTTTACCTACGTATTCCTCGTTTCAAGGCCACTAGTTATTACTACTCTTCGGCCGCTCGTTCATCATGGCTGAGCAGGCTGTGACTACATACGTCCCCTTGGACGTACCTCTTCCACCGATTCCTGAAGGGCAAGCGTTCTCTGACTTGCAATGGAAAACGTTGTTGTCTCTGGCAGACACCGTGATTCCTTCCATTCGCTCTACATCACCTTCCAAGTCTCTCTCTACCAAGGTGGTGCCTGAATCAAAACTCAAGGATGCTGTCTCGACTCTGGCATCCCACATCCACGATCCGGACGCCACCAAGATTGCTGAACAGTATCTGGAAGAGAATGTGTCCGCCAATCCCCAGTTCGTGGAGGGGCTGCGGCGACTTTTCGCGGAGTATATCCACGAAGAAGGGAAAACCGGCATCAGTCTTATCCTAAATGCTCTCAAGTATGTCGCCTCACCGTCGTTACTTTGTCGACTAACCAAATAACAAAATCTAGCTCCAAAGCTGGTTCGCTCATTCTGACTGGCTCGACTACTCCCATTCAAGACCAACCGTTCGAAGTCCGCGAGAAGATGTTTCGTGGTTGGGAAACTTCCCGGATCAAGCCTCTTCGTGCCATCTATAGGGCGTTCACGGCTATTTTCAAGAAGACTTGGATCGCAGTGTCCCCCACGATCCGTTTAGTCGTTGGCTGCCCTCGGGTCCCCGTCCACGGCAAACCTGCGGATGGTTTCGAATACGAGTTCCTGCAATTTCCCCCTGGCAACCAGCCTGAAACCATCGACACCGATGTCGTGATCGTAGGTAGCGGTTGCGGTGGTAGTGTCGCTGCCAAAAACCTGGCCGAGGCTGGATACCGAGTCTTAGTCGTGGAGAAATCTTACCACTACCCATCCAAGTACTTCCCTATGGATTTCACAGAGGGCTTTGTCAGTATGTTCGAGGCCGGAGGAGCAACCATGAGTGACGACGGGTCGATGGCCGTCCTCGCTGGTTCCACATGGGGCGGAGGTGGCACTGTCAACTGGTCGGCTGCGCTGCAGACACAGGGCTACGTGCGCCGGGAATGGGCAAGCAATGGGCTGCCGTTTTTTGAATCGTACGAATACCAGCAATGCTTGGACCGTGTCTGCGATCGGATGGGTGTCAGTAGTGATCACACCGAGCATAACTATGGAAACCGTGTTCTCCTTGACGGGGCTCGGAAATTGGGATATGCAGCCAAGCCTGTCCCTCAGAACACTGGCGGAACGAGTCACTATTGCGGATACTGCACCATGGGCTGCCATTCCACTGGCAAAAAGGGCCCCACGGAGACTTTCTTGGCCGATGCTGCCAGGGCTGGTGCCACGTTCATTGAAGGTTTCCGCGCGGATAAGATTCTTTTCAAGATGACCAAGGGCGGACGGGTGGCGTCTGGAGTTCAGGGAACCTGGACCTCCAGGGACTCTTATCTGGGCACTGCCGGGCCGGACCGTACCAGCCGCAAGGTGATCATCAACGCTGCCAAAGTCATTGTCTCGTGTGGAACATTGCAAAGCCCGCTCTTACTGCTGCGTAGCGGGCTCAAGAACTCGCAAATCGGGCGTAACCTTTACCTCCATCCTGGTGAGTCCTGTATTGATCTGGTCCGCCCCCTAGGCTTTTGCTAACAACCATAGTTGTCCTGTCATGTGCTGTCTTTGACGAGGAAATACGTCCCTGGGAAGGTGCTGCCTTGACCACAGTGGTCAACGAGTTTGAAGATCTGGACAGCCAGGGTCACGGAGTCAAGATTGAGAACGTGGTCATGCTGCCTCCGGTCTATCTTCCGACGTTCCCATGGCGAGACGGATTGGATTACAAGCTCTGGGCGGCCAAGTTGCCCCGCATGACCGGCTTCATTGCTCTGACCAAGGAACGAGACGCGGGCCGAGTATACCCCGACCCTGCAGACGGCCGTGTCAGGATCGACTACACAGTGTCGGCCTATGACCGGAAGCACATCGTCGAAGCTCTGATTGCGACAGCGAAGATAGCATACATATCCGGGGCAAGGGAGTTCCATACCACGAACCGCGAAATGCCGCCATTCATCCGTCCTACGGAGGCATCGGATCCCAATGCGCCCGAGGGTGTCAACAACGCGGCACTTCAAGCGTGGATTGCTGACTTCCGGCGCAAGAACCCCGTCGATCCGGAACGCACCCTGTACGCCAGTGCTCATCAGATGGGTACCTGCCGCATGGGGGCGTCCCCCAGGACGAGCGTCGTCGGTCCGGACTGTCAAGTCTGGGGCACTCAGGGTCTGTACGTCATGGATGCGTCTGTCTTTCCCAGTGCTAGCGGTGTGAACCCGATGGTGACGAACATGGCGATTGCGGACTGGGCCAGCCGGAATGTTGTCCGGTCTCTGGAGAAGGAGAAGAATGGCAAGGGCCTGATGGCTCGTCTATGATGATTACCCTGTCTTCTAAGCATATCTGTACATCACTTTAGTTGAGTCCTGATGATATCCATAGCTGCTTAGTATTAGTGTTGACAATTCATTTTTTCTCATAATTCAGCGTTTATTGGACACTTCCTTCAATGAAAATCAATTCCTAGAATAGATGCTATCTGGTATCGTGCTATGCTCATGTATGACAATTCAAGCCTTGGGAGTTTCACGCTTCTCGACGAACTTCTTCTCATCAAAGGCCTGCTTGACGCCCTCGCTCTCGATGGTCTTCTCGTACCAAGAGACGACGAAGGGGTACTTCTGGCGCATCTCCTGATCAATGATCCTGGCAAAGCCCCAGTAGAGGGCAGCCGCGACGCTGATATCCGCCAGACTCAGCTTCTCCTCGGTCGCGACCCAGTTACGGCCTCTCAAGTGGCCCTCCATGTATGCCAATGCCTTCTCCAACTTCTCCAGGTTCTTCTTCTCGGTATTCTCGTCAAACGGCACGTACCCCAGCCGGGGCAGAATCAGCTGCAGCACAGGACCCTGGATCTCCCCATCGGCGAAGCAGATCCACTGGCGGATGGCCGCGCGCTCGGCGGGCGCGCCACCCAGCAACTGCGCCGCCGCGGGACCACTCTCGGCGACGTACTGCGCGATTGCGTCCGATTCAACGAGCTTGGTTCCGTCCGCGCCTTCGAAGGCGGGGACTTTGCCGAGGGGGAATTTGGCGAGGAACTCGGGGGTGCGGTTGTCGGCGCCGATTTGGAAGGCGGGGTATGAGATGTCGAGGTTGTTGAGTTTTGCGGCGGAGAGGATCTGGTTCATTAGTACCTACTACTAAGCATAGCTGGGGAGGTAGTTACCTTCATAACCCGGGGGTTGTTGGGGTAGGAGTAGATTGTTCCGAAAGACATCTTGAAGAGATGACTGGTTGGTGGGGATTTAGATGAGATGGTATTGAGAAGTTGAGGGGTTGGTTGATTTGTTAGGATGAGGTGTTGGTATGTTGGCCCAATGTTGTCAATTTGTAGTTCTGTGGAAGGTACAAGTATAACGGTTTCCTGGTATAAGTGCCTGCATTTCCAATGATGACAAATGGAGCATGGAGGGATGCTCGCTCTGACAAGTCAAGTGGGGTACTCCTTAGAATGAGATCGAATCATGGAATCGGCGTTGGGGATGTCTGACTGTCCTTAGAGAGCGTCATGATGGATATTGGGTTCTTTTCGTCTCGTGCAAGTTGACAGGAAGAAGTATGAAATGATGCTTTAGATGGTCTACCAGGGGTACTGGCAAATTGATATCTAAGCTCAAGAACAAGATGCTGGTGTCAGGGACCAAGCAATAATGTCCTATCGGAGATTGCAGGAGATGGACTAATGCATGGCGACATTGTGAAGAATTATGAGCAACCTTCAAGGTATCTTAAGGTCTTGAGCTTAGATCTGGATGTTAATTCTTTCTTTACCATGGATACAGCGATAATCTTATCCCATTGATTCGAAGAACCCCGCAATCTGATTCCATCAGTCTCCTGACCTCCTCATCTGGGTACATCAGAGCCATCATCTGTTTCAACAATTATGAACAATGTATATCACAACAATGAGACAATGAGGGATCATGCTCAGAATAACCTGGAGACAAAGACTACTTTCCTCTCTCTCCCTCCTGAACTCCACCTCCTCATCAGCTCTCACCTCCGGTTCCCCGACATCGTCTATTTTCGAATAACATGCGCGTATTTATACTCTCTCCTCCCACCCCTCACTCACTCGCAACTCCTTCTGGCTGAGACCACCGACTACGCATTATCCAAGGATATCTACGCATGCCGGTACTGCCTGCGTCTCCGTCCCGCATCTCGCTTCGCGGATCGGATGCGCCGACGGAGACGGAGCAAGTACGGTCGGGACGCGGAGAAGCGGTTTTGCGTGGAGTGCGGGTTGCAGCCGAGGGCGGGGACTGATGAAGAGGCGAGATATGGGCCTGGGGCGCAAATGCGGATCAATGGGGTTTTGTATGTGATTTGTATCACTTGTCGAAGGTTTGCGTTGGGGTATGGGGGTGGGATTGAATGTCAAGAGTGTGGTCTGGACAGGGAGAGGGTGCGGCAGCAGAAATTATTACAGATTAGGAGAGATTCTGGCATATACGGCGCGCTTGTGGATGAAGGCTGAACAAGGTCATTGCACATGGTTCGCGTTTTATTGGGTCTATCATCTATCACGCTATCGATCAGCCCTGTCGAGCGGGATCCTGCGCCGGCTTGTTGCCCAGGAACTCGTCGATCTGGGCCATCACTTCGGGAGTGAGCTTCGGTAGAAGCTTCAGGCTTTCGACATTGTCGACGATTTGCTCCGGTCGCGAGGCCCCGGTGATGACCGAGGACACGTTTTCGTTCTTCAGGCACCACGCCAGAGCCAGTTGCGACAGCTTGACGCCCAGCTTATCCGCCAACTCCTGCTTCGTGTTAGTGCAGCCCTACGGAATGCGAGTAGGAATACTTGCCTTCAGACCGACGATCTTCTTGATAGTCGCTGCCCATTCGTCATTGCCATAATTTTCACGGACGCTGTTGGCGAACCGGTCGTTGCTCTCGGCGAATCTCGAACCAGGGGGAGGCTGCGTCGTTGCATCGTTGTATTTCCCGCTCAAGAGACCCATCTTCAGGGGGGAGAAGGTGGTCAGACCGATCCCGCAGCGCGAGTACAGCCGCTGAAACTGCCCCTCGACCTTTTGTCTGTCCAACATGTTGTAAAGCGGCTGCTCGACGATGGGTGCGATGAGCCCTAGCGACCTGGCGATGCCGCAAGCCTCGGCGATCTCGTCGGCCGACCACTCGGATGTACCCCAGTAGAACGCCCACCCCTTCTCGATCACATAGTTGAATGCGCGCACCGTCTCCTCCATCGGCGTCAGACGGTCCGGTCGGTGGGCGTAGATGATGTCGACGTATTCGAGCTGCAGGCGTTCCAACGAGGCCCGGGTGCCTTCGATGATGTGTTTGCGCGATAGGCCGTGGTTGTTGATCAGGATTTCACCGTTCGCCATGCCCCAGTTTAGCTACATATCTGTCAGCCTGGGTTATTGATGATCGGCCCGGCAGGACGAACCTTTGTGCTGATGACCAGATCGCTTCGCTTCCACCCGAATTTCTTGATGGCTTGTCCCATGACGATCTCAGATTGCCCGTTTGCGTAGCTGCTTCATGAGCTTGGGCCATTATACAGGGCTGAAGGACATACCTTTCTGCCGTGTCGAAAAAGTTGACTCCGCAGTCGTATGCTTGTTTCATGCAGTTGAAGGTGATCTCTGAATAGTCATTAGCGCCACGTTTACAGTTCATAACTGCAGAGCAATCTACCGTTATCGACATGACCACCGAAACTGTCCAGAAGCATGTTAGAAAGCGCTGTATGCATCAAACCGGACCAACTCACGTCAACCACCCTCCCAATCCAATGACGGAGACATGCAGACCTGAGTTGCCTACTCGTCGGTAGAGCATGTCTTTGTTCTTGTTAGGCCACGCCATGACTGGATTATAGTCGATTGACTCCTGGAAGATTATTGTATGCTTCGAACTGATATGAAGCAAGAAGGGCACTCGAGCCAATTTATCTTCTTGACTCTAGCCTTCTATCGCAACTTGCAAGTTGCAAAATGGACTTTTAAGCGGATCGGGGACCTTAAACGGAAATTGGTCAACATATTGTACTTGTCGAAGTGGGATGACTCCAAGCTCATGTCATTTGCCGTGCAAGAAGAGCTCCATCTGCCTTTCTGCCAATATAGCCGGCACCAATCATGGCAGTAGTTGTTTGCAAGCGCGGGGCTTGTGCGGAGGCAGGGAGGGTTCTCGGAGTAATACTCGGAGGGTCCTTTTCATCTTGGGTTAGTCCGAAGTGATGGAACTATGGAACAATGTCCAAGGGGTTAAAAGGACTTGCGTTTTAGAATGAGATGATGACAGTGCTCTGGGTCTGTGTGAGGTTGAGTTATGAGCATGAAGAACCCGCACATTCAGAGAAGAGAGTAGCTGGTCTGAGGACTGAGGCATGAATAAATCAGGTGACCGGTTGGAATTGCTTCATCTCTCGTGTCTCGCGCTCCGAGATCCTTAGTCTTCGCTGTCTCAACTGTCGAGACCATAGTGGGCCCTGGCAATGGCGTGCCGCGTGGAGAAAGTAACGCAACATTGGGCTTGTAGAATGCGAGATCGCGAGTCGTTAATGACCAAGCTTTCTCCAATGCTGACTTCTCAAGAAACATGGTGAGGTTTTCCAGGAGACATTTCGACGACTTCAGCGAGAAACAATACTTTGTTACAGCTGGTCTTGCACTCTTCACAATATTCTACCAAGATTTTTAAGCGGACTCTGGGCTCATCTAGTGCTTGCAGCTTGGCTACCCCGCAGTTACAGGGGATCAGCGTGGTGCTCTCCTCATCTGGAATGCCTCAAGGCTTATGATCATCCAACGGTCAACATTCTCCCAAACAGTGGTCAATAGTGGTCCAAGATTTGCCCATCCGAACACGTACACAGGTCGATGCTCATGATGCTCTTGAGTGTCTACCAACATGCCGGCTTCACGATCAAGTGTGACCAAACGTGCCTGTGACGGGTGCAAGATTCGCAAGATTCGTTGTGGTGGCGGCCAGCCATGCCAGGCCTGCACCAATTCGCACATCAGATGCACCTACATTCGTGTTCAGCAGCCTCGAGGTCCGCAGCGTTTGCGCTCGACGACAAAGTATCTCATCGAGCAGACCCAGCGTGGGCTGGACGCTCAAAATGCCGGATGCGCCTCCCTGCCAGTCGGACAGGCTGGCCATCGAACAGAGAGGTGTGTATTGAAACATCCGGCTGTCACGTTTTTGGACCCGAATCTGACTGCAACCAGATTGCGAATACCGACTAACGTCCTTGCTCCCCCGCTCTACATATACCACATGCGCATGTATCCAGTTTGGCCCATCGTCACCGTCGAAAGCCTCATCTCGGTACTACAAGAAGATCCAGAACGAAGAGATCTGTCGACATACACCTTGGCGACAGCCGTCGCAGCAGCGACACTTGCTCAACTCAAGCTCGAAGATTTGAATACCGTCGACTCACCCACGGCAGACGCATTCGCAGCCGAGTGCCTACACGCCCGTGATTCGTGTGGATATAGATCAAAACCGAGCCTGGACAATATCCGGACATCGTTTTTCCTACATGTATACTATGAGAACCAACAATCTGGAGGAAGTGAGTCGTTGCTTTATTTGCGGGAAGCCATTACCATGGCGCAAATGATGCGCCTGCATGAAGAGGCCTCTTACATCGGACTCGGTCCTGAGGAACAACAACTCCGCCGTCGCGTTCTGTGGCTGCTTTTCGTGACGGAACGGTAATTCTCCTTCATCTCCGCATGATCCATGGCCTAATCTGACTATGTTCAGGGGTGTTTGTATTCTTCACAAACTTCCGGTGATCCTCAGAACTAATATCTCGACCCCTGGGCTTGACGTCAATGACGAGCCGCAAGTCTTGCCCGCGTTCCTAAAACTACTGAACCTATTCCGCCTGTTCGAAAAGTCCAAGATGTTCGATGTTATAGAATGGGAGACCGTCGGTGCTCATGACCTAAGCGGGACAGGTACGCCTGACGGCAGATTTCTCAAACTGCTACAGGACGGACTGCAGGACGGGTCGGCGCTGCTGGATCATACGTCGGACGTGCAGAAGGCAGATTTATGTGTCACCCGGCACTGGATGCGTCTGATCTTGTGGAAGAATCTGTCAAGAAACAGGACGACAAGCGCGCATTCACCGACGTCGCTTTTCTCGCCGTTATTTCCAGTAATGGTGGCGAAGGAGCTCTTGACCATAGTAACTCAGTTGCCAAGACCGGCGATTGAGGCCCATGGCCTGGGAATGGTATGGTTTGCCTCTTGACATGTGGCACCGCTAACGTATGTAGGAGTTGAAGCTGTACGAAATTGCCAGTTCGCTGGCGGATGCGGTTATGAATCTGGCAATGCTCCCGCGGCCTCCTATCTGGGACGTCGAAAGCCGTCCAAGTCAAATTCTGGCCCGCTTACATACCATTCTGTCGACATTTCGTGGTGGTGGGAACAAGCAGCTGGTTGAATTGCTGTATAAGAAGATGGCCGAGGCGCAATCGATAAGTGGACTCACATTGGGAGCATCGCTCAAAGCCCCGGCTGGCAAGCCGCAATTCCGGCAGTCACCGGAATCATCGACGTGTAGAAATGCAATGAGAGAGAATGCTTTCCTCGGCCAGTCGCCAGCCGAATCGAGTCAGGTGGTCATGACGGGTTGGTTCAGTTTTGGACCTCCTTACACATTGCAAGCAGGTGGAGACATTGCGCAGCCCGATTGTTTTGACGATTGCATCTTGCCCGACGATATGGTCTTGGGAATAGCTTCGGCATCTGACACTCCCGCCGATGCGTGGACAACGGAGTCCCAGGTCACCACCGAAGACATGGGGGAGATGGCATCACTCTTCACCTCTTTGCCATCATGGACGACTCCTCCTGGGGAGATTATCCTTGAAGATTGTCCAAAAGAAGACGTCCTCAATGATACATCGTTTGAAACTTTCTTACCCACCAATGAGGATATCACTATCTGGCACACACCGATAGTTGGAACTTGATACCAGGGCATCCCACGAGAAGCTGTTGAAAGAGCAGACCTTGTTTATTGCGCGTTGCTATATACCACTGACATTATACCTTATACAACGATCCATCAATATTTGAAACGGAAATCTAGACGTTTGTTACCCTCCTTCTCTCTCGCCTGCTGATCAGACTGGTACAAGACCTTCTCCTCGGCCGACATGGCGTTCCACTTCTTCTCCTTTTGCCGGTTGAGATAGCGCAGAAACTCACGCTGGGAGACAAAGACGACGAGGGAAAGCACGCAGATGGATATAAGCACCTTGTTGCCCCTGTAGTAGTACGGCGAGTCATCGGCACGATAGATTTCTGCCCTACATTAGCCTTGTTCTCGAGAAACGAACCGAGACTTACGGGACGAAATGACCGAGCCAACCTGGACAATCACGTTATACGTCGCCGCTGTGATGGCTCTCTTTTTGACATCGAAGGTGTTCTCCGAGATCCAGGATGAGACAATGGGGTGGAAGTAGGGATACCCGGAGATCATGGTCGTGATTGCGAATCGCGGCCAATTGTAACCGTGGGCCGGCAGGGCGAGCAACGCTGCCAGCAGCGGCAACGACCACAACTCACCGATGACGCAATGGAAGGTCCGCTCCTTGAAGAAATCACTGCTCTTGGACAGCGCAAGCATGAGGATGATCTGCAGCGCGGCCGAGGGGATGGAGAGCATGTTTGCGTCGAAGGTGGAGAAGCCGAGGCGTTTGAGGGTGAGCGAGAGGTACGCCTGCACGGGAGACTGGGGGATATACGCGACGAGGCCGATGAGGTACAACCCCCACATGGACTTGTCGCTCCAGGCGTTGAGGATGTCTGCGAGCGTGGCGCTGTCGTTGATGTGGGTGAGGCCTTTGGAGGGGTCGTCGCGTAGGAGGCGCTGTTTCGTCAGAACGAGGACAAGCAGGAGCAAGAGTGGAAGACATACATTGATCATGATGACTTCCTCGCGCTCGGTGTACCAGGAACGAGGGTAGAGGACGCTCTTGGTGTTGGTAGGAGAATGGGGGAGGTAGAAGAAGCTCTGTTTTCGTCAGTCGCAGCCGCAGCCATACAGCCGGGCATAGAGTGGCGTACCATCAACCCAATGGTAAAGGTCAGCAGTCCCTCGATAAGGAACAGCCAGAACCACCCGGAGTGGCCCCGGACACCTCGCATCTGTAGAATTCCCGCCGCCAGCAACGAGGAGATGATCCGTGCAACCTACATCATCACATCACATCAGCATCAGCATCATCAGCAGCGGTTTTCCAAGCTGGTTTCCAGAGAATATCACTCACATTAAGCGTGGACCAGAAAAACGACAACCGCACCGACAGCTCCCCCGTCTTGTAGAAATACGTCGCAAAGAGAATCGTCCCCGGGATGAACCCACCCTCACACGCGCCGATCAGCGCACGCGTCACGTAGAACGCAGCCCGGGAGGTCATCCATGCCTGCGTCCAGGACACCAGACTCCATGCCATCATCATGCAGGGCAGGACACGCTTGAACCCGAAGCGCTTGGTGAGGAGCTGGACGGGGAATTCGGCGGCGAGGAAGCAGACGAGTTGGATTGTTGTGCCCTGTCCTCATCAGCCGGTATTTTCTGCAGGGTTGATTCAAGAATTGAGTACATTATTATAATCGTTTGTCGACATGTTCAGGTCTTTCAGAAAGTTATCTGTCAATGCATTGGAGAGATTACCACGGTCGAGTTGGAGGCCGAAGAACTGTTGTAATTAATTAGTATTGTTGTTATCCCATGGGTAAAGTTGAAGGAAGGGGAGGCAACCATGAGACAAATCCAGCTCAGCAACATCATATCCGTCTTGAATACCACACTGCGCTCCTCTTTTGCGCTCCATGACGCCGTCGGGTCGAAGCGGTGGTATCCCTCATAGGACTCGTGGGGGGGCGTCACGCCTGCGAGCTGGGACTGGCCCACGGCGACAGAGAGCTTGGAGGAATGGGAGTCTTCATCTTTGGAAGATGAGGTTTTTGGGAGTTTGCCTTGTTCGATATCTTCCATTTTGAATATTTGCTAAGTGGTTTGCTGGGAATCGAGGCGATGTATGATCCTCGTGGTGTTGGCTGTATATATACTTCTGTAGGGTCATTGTGTCATTTGACAAGTATTTTGTATGGTTTAGTAGCTACAAGCTACTTCTACTAGCTTAACTGCTTGAATGCAGTCCTCTAAAAGCTAATTCTGAATTGATCATTATTCTATCCAAGTCACAAGTGTGGTGAAGCTAAAATGGCATAAAGAAGTCCTCCGAGCACATCATCGATAGGCTGGATGCTTACAACCAACCAACGGCCTGGAATGGAGCCACTTGGCACGATTGTCTTCAGGTTTTTGTTCTTAAATTGGCTTGTTCCTAATTTGATTATTCCAAAGACACGATCATACTTAGAGGTTGTTCGACAGCTGCCTTGCACTCTCTACTTCTGTCGTGTAGCTAGTAGCTAGAGAAACAGCGTGTCATTCCCCAGATTCTCCAGATTTCTACCCCCAAATGCGGCGTCGACTAACAGTACTCCGTATATTAGCAACCCAATAGCATTCTACAGAGAAAGAGCAAAAGCTATTTCATCCGCCTGCCACTAGTCGACCAATCTAATTCGCTAAGCAGCCAAAGTTAGGTACACACAAGGCGTGGTGGCACCGAGAATTTCGCCGATGCCCCGCCGATAACAGCGCCGTTGGATTCCTTTCTTCCACCTTGAATCATGGATGGATTGGAGCCCCTCTTCAGTGCGGGGAAAATAGAATCAAAAGACCGAGGTGAACAGTCTAGACGAGTAATTCGTGGATTTACACTCGGGATCGGTGGTCATGCATGGTCTGATACCGAGTCAGTGGAGGGATGGTGTCATTTTGGTGTTTGTTGGTATTGCCTATAGTAGATGATATATAGATTAAATTGTTCCCACGCGCTGGACACTTTTGTCGGCTCAACTGATCATCATCGTAGGGAAAAGAAGCAGCATTGAAATGCCCTCTGTCGCAGAGACCATCCGAGGAGGCCATGAACAGGCCCGGCCATCCATCTCCCGGCCGCTGGAGTACTCCGGCAGCCTGGACTCATTCTCTCATCTGGACTTGACGCCGGTCATAGGAAGAGAGTACACGGGCTTGCAAGTCGCCGAGATTCTCTCATCCCCAGAATGCGATCGGCTGATTCGCGATCTCGCAGTCACCAGTATGTACCCGGACATCTCCCGCACTTGACCAGACCTGACAGACGCAGTCTCCCAACGGGGCGTCGTCTTCCTCCGTGACCAAGATGTCACACCGCAGCAGATGCGCGAGTTCATGGAGAAACTGACCGCTCTCGCTGGATGCGTAAGCCCAGTTTCCCGTCCAGCGACGCCGCGCCGAGCTAACTAACTCAGCCCGAATCCTCCGGCCTGCATGTCCACCCCCTCACCGAAGAAGGCAGCGAGCTAGGCGACCAGATCAGCGTCATCAGCAGCGAGAAACAGAAGAAAGGAGGTGGCCTTACCCACCAACTCAGCGACACCAGCCGCTTCGCCTCCGTCGGCTGGCACTCGGACATCAGCTTCGAGCGCGTCCCCTCCGACTACGCCATGCTCAAGATTCACACCCTCCCGCCGACGGGCGGTGATACCCTCTGGGCGTCGGGGTACGAGGTGTACGACAGACTGTCGCCGGCGATGGCCACGTTCCTGGAGGGACTTACGGCGACGCACGATGCGAGTTTCTTCCACGATGAGGCGAGACGGTTGGGGAATCCGCTGCGGAAGGGGGTGCGAGGGTCGCCGTTAAACGTGGGCGAGGAGTTGCAGGCTGTGCATCCGGTTATTCGGACGAATCGTGCGTTTCCTCTTGTTTTTGTGAGTGTGCGATGGCTGACGTTGATAGCTGTGACTGGGTGGAAATCCGTGTATGTCAACAAGGGATTCACTAAGAGGATCAATGGGGTGACCAAGGACGAGTCGGATGTGCTGCTGCAGTATTTGTTCAATGTATGTTTATTCCGCATGGGTGCTCGAGGCAAACTGACGAAAGCAGCTGGTCACGCAAAACCACGACGCACAGGTGCGCTTCCGATGGAACAAGAATGACCTGGCCATCTGGGATAACCGGTCGACCTGGCACTGTGCCACGTACGACTATGCCGAAGCGCGTGCGGGAGACAGAGTGTGTAGTCTTGGGGAAGCGCCGTACCTGGACCTCCAGTCTAAGTCGAGGAAGGAGGCTTTGAAGAACTGATTTGATATACGTATGGTATGATTAATGCTTATGACTATGATTATTGGTATTGCCAATGTACATTGAATAAATGGATTTCGACACAAAGACCTACTTTGTACTACCCCCGAGCTACGCTTGCCATGGTTCCGATAGCCGCATATAATTCCAGCACACTGCGTACACGTACATTAGCACTATGCTTGTACAGCACGAGGAGAACATACCTTTGTACGCCATATCGTCCCCGAACATTGACGCCAGAACATCCTCCCCATCCTTGACTCCGTCCACCGGATGATACGAGACAGCCGTCCTACCCAGACACAGCCCGATCATGGGTGGAATCTCCTGCAATTCCTGAAAGTCTGGCTTGGAGGCGACACACTCGGCCAGCATCAACTGGTGGATATTATATCCCGCGTAGTGGCCCATGTGCATCGCGGCCCCGCAGCGTTTGATGCCGGACCAGGCGGCCAGGTCGCCAATAGCAAAGTGGTAGCTGGCATTGGGGATAGTTGATGGAAATTGCAGACTGCGTCATCAGCACTGATTATCAACTGGAAGGGAAGGCACATACGATGGCTGAACTCTAACATGGCCCTCGTCATCTAAGACCTGAGGTGGCAAATACGAGGATGTAGGCGTGCACCGGGACACCGCGCTGAGGACATGGCCCGCCTTGATGGCACGGCCGTCCGCCAGCGTGAGACACCAGATTCGTCCCGTCTTCTCCTCTACCGCGGTGGTATCGACGACGCGCTGCCCCAGGATGAGCTCAACACCAGTCTCGCGAATGAGCGCCGCCACGCGGTCCTTGAAGTCATCTGGCAGAGGCTCGGCAGAGAGAAGATGCTCACGGGAGTGTATCAGCGTAACATGCAGCTGGGGATAGAGCAGCTTGATTTCCGTCGCCATTTCCGTCCCTACGGCGCCTGTACATCACCGTCATTAGCCAGGCTGTTTAACCTAGGGGTGCTGGGAACCTACCTCCACCAACAACCACTACCCCCTGCCGTGCATTCACCACATCCGCAGTATGCTTCCTCACCTCCGCCAAAAACGCATCCCGCGTTCGACTCTGCGGAACAGCAGGAAACACCCTCCGCAGCCCCGTCCCCGCAATGAAAAAGTCATACCCTTCCTCCCGAGTCGTCCTGCTCGCCGAGTCTAGGATTGTGGCCGTCTTACGCTGGCAGTCGATAGCACTTACACTGCCCCGGATAAAGCGCACATGCGGCGACTGTAGGGCCTTAATATCGACGAAGCGGGCCCAGGTATCCGAGGCGAATTGCTCGTCCACCAGCGCTCTAGGGGATCCGATCAGGTGGTCTAAACTTGTTAGCTAGTTTGGTGGTATGAGACCGAAAGTGCGTACAGAATCCATCCTTCTCGTCTACCAGGGTAATATCCACTGGGATATGGTGCTGTGGCGGTTTGGTCTCCGGATCGTAGTTGAAGCGGGCGAGTTGGCCGCGGGAGAGGTCGAGGAGGGTGAGGGCTGCGCTGAGGCCTCCGTACGAGGCGCCTGCGATGAGAACGCGGAAGCGACGCGCAAGGGAGATGAGGCCTTCGTTTGATGGCATGGTCTTTTTTGCGACAGCGAGCGGATTGAGAAGATATGGAGGGTGAGCGTAGTTTAACAAAGGCTTTGGTTTTCGGATGACTGCTGAAGAAGATTCGGTCTGGGGACAGCGGACTGCAATGAATATAGGAGTCAACGGTGGAGCCGAAGGATCTGTTCTCAAGAAAGGATGTCTCTTGGCTGTCTCGGCTGACAAGTGTTTGGGTTTTGAGGTATTGCTTTCTTGGATTATATCTATTCTGAGTTCACTCTGTGTAACCTTCGGATTTTGAAAAGGCACTCTTCATCTTCTACTACTCATGCCGTCCCTGTCAGGCGGATCGGGCCCTTTTCCATGGGATACAATGCGACACCCCACTTCCGGCCATTCCTTATCAGATGAGCGAAATTGGTCTTGGGCAGTCGCATTGTTGGCGCAGCCAAGGCGCAGCCAAGGCGCAGTCATTAATACTGTTACGCAATCATAGCCTGGTCTTGGGAGCGGTTGTGTGAAAATCTACGAGAGTAGTACTTGGCGAAGGGGATGCCTGCAGTGTCGTTATCTGATCCGAATCATCGACTAAAGTTATCTGATCGAGGCCGTGCCACTGCCCAGTTTCATCTGATAATGAGCTCCAGATGACCGTAGGAATTGAAAAAATCAAGTCATCGTTTGCATTCCAAGAAATTTGTAACAAGCCCAACACCTGCTTTTAACTTTGCAAACAGAGACGTGAGTCCCGCAGCTGGTGCTAATTTCTGCATTATTGAAATGCGGCATTTATCTATCTGCAAGTCCCACTACCAATCTCCGCTCCATCCTGTACGTACAACTCCGAGAAGATCATTCCTAATTTGTCCTCAAAGTCCTGAAAATCCTCCGAGGCTCCAAGGCCGACGTCGCACCGGGAGTCTGCGACAGACCAAGTGGGGTGATCCTGTTCCTGTTATCAATCAGTGATGGGGAGTCGGATGGTGGCCATGGTCAGGGTAGATTTGAAAATTACAGACACACTAGAGTGCAACTATCAGCGTAGGACCTCCTGGGCGCTGTTAACACAGATCTATTGGCCTCTGGGTTTGAAAAAATATTCGTTTTAGGCTTTAAGATTCTTCTGTTCATCCGAGGTAATGGCCAGATCAAACAAGTATCCGACGTGCGCTAAACTCCGAGTAATCCCTTTTGAAGTAGCCTCCAAAGTAGCGGGTCAAAACTCCAAAGTGGTAAATCTTACGAAAGAGTTGCCTGGCTAATTTCCAGGATTTTTGTGGGCATGTGTGTTGTAGATGACCCACAGAGCCGAATATCGGCTTCGACCTATGCATTAAACCAAGAGTGGATTATTGTATTCTTTCCGGTTTTTACAGTAAAATGAGAATGAAATATCAAGGAGACACGAAATTATTCTTAGTATCATCAAAATGAAAAATTGGAAGCGTGTCTCACTATCCGTTACTTGATTTAGGATTTGGCCCTAGATAATTTTGTTTACTACTTCTTCAGGTTCGCATTCTCATCAGATTAGATGGTCATCTAATCTGATTGTGCGCAGTGGGGCATTGCATTTCTTCCCCTTTCGATTTTCTCCCAATCTTCCCTAATCTACTGCACACCCGCTTGGATTCGGGAAAAGGGAAAATAAGATCTTTGAATCAGACAATGTAAAAACGAGATTGGAAGAAATAGGTAAGGAAGAATCTAAAGGGTATATACATTCAAGTCATCAAGTCGAGACGAGTCTATTTTTCCTTTGTTGCCGTGGCCATCCGTCGCTCCAAAACACCCGCCGCAATCTTGCGTAAGTCCACCTTCCGAACCTTTCCGCTGCCCGTCACAGGAATCGTCCGGTCGACCCCCTCCTCGCCAAATACAAAGAAATACTGCGGTGCCTTGTGCCGACCCAGAGTTTCGCGTGTCCAGGCGCGGAGCTCCTCATCCGAGGGTTTTGCGGTCACGCCAGCGGCCAGCGCAAGGAACGCCCCCACGACCTCACCGTATTTCTGGTCCGGGATGCCGATCACGGAGGCCACCTCGATGGCTGGGTGTGCGGCTAGTCGCTCTTCGATCTCGAGGGGGTAGATGTTTTCTCCGCCTTTGGGTATGTTAGATCATATTGTAAACTGTCGACTGAGAGTAAGGAAAGTGGAAATACCTCGGATGATGATGTCCTTGAATCTTCCGGTGATGGTACAATATCCCTGCTCGTCAAAGATGGCCTCATCTCCTGTCTTGAGCCATGTCACTCCGTCCGAGTCGGTGACCAGTGCCTCGGCCGTCTTCTCGGGGTTGTTCCAGTACCCCTTTGTCAATTGGTATCCGGCAATGCAGAGCTCGCCGCGCTGCCCGACGGGGACGATGTGGCCCTGTGCGTCGATGACTTTGGCTTTGGCGTGGGGCATTACCTTTCCGACGGTCGTCAGGCGGCGTTCGATCGTGTCGGTTGTCAGGGCGTTGAAGCAGGTGGGAGAGGCTTCGGTGAGGCCTGTAGTCGTCAGCTACTGTTCCAGATCTGCTACAGAGAGTTTCGGTACCGTAGCTGCTGGTATACTCGGTCATATTTAGTTCCCCAAACAACCTTTTCATGAGCGGCCGGGGCGCAGGTGCACCGGCAATAATTCCCGTCCGTAGATTCGAGCAATCAAAGTTGGGTGGCTTGGGAATACTCAGGATCGCCTCGAACATGGTCGGCACGCCGTGCAGGGCGGTGCACTTCTCGTCCGAGATGGCGTGCAGCACGGCAGTCGGATCGAACGTCTCGCTGGGGAAGATGATTTTTGACCCGTGGGTTACGACAGCGAGCATGCCCAGCACGAGACCGAAACAATGGAAGAGCGGCGGCGGGCAGCATAGGGTATCGAAGGAGGTGAGGTTCATCCGGTCACCGATGAAGCGGGAGTTGTTCACTAGATTGCTGTGACTAGTTAGCTACTGTCGCCGCCACTGGCTCTATGGACGTACTGATGCGTCAACATGGCGGCTTTAGGATTGCCCGTCGAGCCGCTGGTGAACTGCAGGTTGCAAACATCCCCCGAACTGAGCTCTGCTTCACGGTCCTGTAGTGCGTGGCTGGGAGGCGGCAGACCGCGCTGGATGACGTGTTGATATGTGCTGAAACCGTTGTATTTCCCTCGCAAAATCACAATTTCCTCCAACGCCGACGATGTTCCCTGCTCCTTTGGACGGGGCCCTAACTTGGCCAGTACCTCCTCGAGCGAATGGCGGCCGATATGTGGAGTTAAGAACAGTAGTCGACAGTCTGCAGAAGACGCAAAGTCAATCTCGCGTCGGTCATCAGGAACGCTGTAGACTGTAGTAAATACCTGTATGCCCGAGAGCATAGTACAGCTCGGACGGCGTATATGTATTGTTCAGCACCACCAGAATCGCGCCGACACGCGCAGCGGCAAAGAAAACCGAGATATACTGCTCGCAATTACCCGCCATAATACCTATCCGGTCGCCCTTCTGAATTCCCATGGCCAGCAGGCCGCAAGCCACCCGGTCCGCTTCATCCTTGAGATCGGCGTAGGTCCAGCGCGCGCCAGTCCAAGGGAAGACGAGACACTCATAGTCGCCGTATTGCAGGCTCTGCAGGGTGAGAAGTTCGCCGAGGGTAATGTCTAGTAGTTCTGGTTGGGCTGGGCCTTCGACGATCGACAGCAGTTGGGGGGCCTTTCGGGGCTCAAGGTGCGAAAGAGTTTGCTGCAAACGTCGTACAGTCGCCATTTTTGAGTTTTGTATGTCGATCTCAGACTACGAAAGTCAACTTAAGACACGGAACCGCTCAGTGGAAAACCCGTCTTATATTACTACTGCCTTCCAATGAGGCCCATCGCCTCGGATAATACACCCGGTCTCGGTACCTAATAAAGAAGGCGTGTTCACAATGATTGCAGACGGATCCAGATTTTTCATGGCGTGTCTTTTTGAGCCAACTAGCACGTTTTACTGACACACTTGTCTAGAACGATGGGCTGAGGAAGAATTGAATCCATGTGGCTTTCTTGAGGAAAAGCTCCACTTTGTAGCCATGCCTCATGCCTCGCTTATCAGATTTTTCGCGTAAAGCCTTGGCATGGCGAGAGGATCGAATCAGATAATCGACGGAGTGGATTTTTGTGGGCTAGCATTTGATCAGATAAGAAATGTTCCGGAGTCACTTGAAGAGCTAGGTTAAGTCTAGGGCTTACGGAGTAGTTGTGACGACTCTGTCCTAGAACACTTACGTCAAAATTGTTGAAAGAGAACAATGATGGTTTGAACTAAAGGTAATTCCATCATATAATTCAAACCTATCTAAGGATGTGATCAAGTTGTCAATGTGGCGTGAAGCAATTTTATTAAATTCATGGTGAACTTGATGCAGCCTCGGGGTCAGTAAACAAGACCCTATATGTCGGTCGAGCTTATGCTTCAGCGGTATGGTCCTGCATCTGATGTCGCTCATGAAGTACTCGGAATGCATGGATTTATCTCGAAGGTTAGAAATCTTGCTCACCACTTATCTCAGCGCTAAGTTAGTTTCTCTCTAGGGTGTAAGGATGGACCATGATTTCGGTGGCCGTTTCCTTGTGGAATGTCCCACCCCACTCTAGGCCAAGAATGAACAAGACAGGCTTTTACTCTCAGGCCGTGGTACAATTCAACTCTTCATTTTGAAGTCAGTAGAGGACATGTCCGGGGCCTTCAATGGTCATGGTAAAAATGGATAGCAGTGAGTGTACTGGCATCAGATGATCTCAAGAATATATTTAAGTCTGGAATGAGGGACAATAACTGGAATTTATTAACTACTTTCTAGTCTTTTTTCAAGTAAGTATTGTACACCTAAGTACTCAAAAACCACCGGTAACCCACTTTATAATATAATAATAATAATAAAACGCAGTTGTGTTTTGCGAGCTGTACTGTGTACCTCAACCATGACTAACAGACTGTATCGAATCTAATCAGATGATCTAATCAGATAAATGATCCCGACTATCGGCGCAAGGGAGAAACGGTTGGCCTGAGAAATGAGGAGTTCCTGGCGCGTCTTGGCACGTGTCATTCCCTCTTGCCGTCAGCTGATCTGCTGCCCAACATGGCTAATAGCAGCCAGTTCTGGCAGCCTTTTTGCACATCATCGTCATTCCTTTTAGTCACCATCGCGGGAATTTCTTAGCTGCTGTGATCTCCCCACATGCTCCTTCTGCGCCCAATGAGATTGCCTCTAACCCCTCTGTGGTCCACTCTACCTAGGATTACCAGCGAGGGGCAGTTCTGGCGGAGTTCTTGCGTGGGAGGGAAAAAATGTAGCTCTGCAGCGTTGATCTTCATCAATCGATTTGCTTTTTTATGTCTTCAAAAACCTCCCCGTGCCGCCGTCCTTCAGAGCGCCACATCACATTCCAGTGTGCGACTCATTCTATCCGAGGTGCGCGATAATTCCGCCCGCAGTCGACTGAAGCCATGGCAGGAACAAGCCCCGCGGATGACCCAACGGAAACAACAATTACAAACCACATCAACGGCTCTCGCAGTGATGCTTCACCTGGATCCAGTGTGGTTGGAGTTGTTCCTGTGACAAAAATACCTGCTCTAGACACTATCGACCAATATGCAGTTGAACGACCAACGGTCGATTCGATTGGGCAAAGTCCCTGGTTAAAGATCGGCTCCAGCGATGTTAGCGGAGATCTCGCAATAGCATTGATCGAAGGATACGCTCGATTTGTATGCGCGTTCACTGGTCTCGATGATATTGCTTTTGCCGTCTCGCGCCAGCCTTCAACAGGATCTTCGCAGACTCTCATATGCGCTTCCGTGACCGTGACTGAAGAAAAGGAGTGGTTGCAGTCAACACAGCAATGCGCAGTGCGCGAACTCGACTTTTCATACTACAACCGAGACGAGGTTCAGTTCGTTCTGGACTTGGCTTTGACTAGTGGTCCTGAGAACGGAAACACAGATCTGAGCTCGTTCGCAGAGAGAAACGTCAGTACGCCTCAAAGTGTGAGAGACAATAGCTAATGTTTATAATAGTGTCTCTCGTTGTACGTTCGGGTTTCCAATGACGACATACGGATCAGTTTTACTTATCCAAAGCGACTGATCCCTGATGCAGCGGTGAGCCAGCTGCTGAAGACGATTGCGTTGCATATCAGGCAATCCATTGGATGTCTTCAATCCAAAGGAGTCTCGGCGGATGATCAAACTCCTGACTTATCTATCCTTAATTTTCCGCCTCTGATGGTACCCCCTCGACGAGACGATGATTCAGCGCCGCCGCACCGTTCCAAATCATTCCTTCTTCATTCTGCTTTCGAGGGCTGGGCCCAGAAAAGCCCTAGTGCCATTGCACTAGACTTCGTTCGTTCTTTACCATCGGCCAACTCTACCGCCGAGCATAGCACCCTAACCTATGCCGCTCTCGATGCTGCAGCCACCTACCTGGCAATTCATATCAGAACGCTCCTTTCAGACGGCACGCACAACACTGGCAATCGCATCATTCCTGTCTATATGTCAACTTCGCCTGAGCTCTACATCTCATACCTCGGAATCCTTAAAGCCGGTTATGCATTCTCTCCCATTCCCAAAGATGCTCCAGCTCAGCGAGTCCGTGATATTCTTCGGGATATCGACTCCTCCGTGATACTTGGCAACACTGAGGAACCGTCATCTGGGCCATGGTTCCCAGACGCAGGTGATGAAACAATATCAAAGCCAATTTGGGTAAACGTGGCTGAGGTCTCCAGATGGAAGCACTTCTCTGGAGGGCATGCTGCAATTCCAATACAAGACAGATGTTTCGATCCTCCCGACATCGATCACAATCAGATTGCCTACCTTCTTTTCACAAGTGGCTCCACCGGTAAACCCAAGGGTGTACAAGTCAGTCATCTTGCAGTAACCTGTTCGATCGAGTCCCACGCTACAGCCATCCCACTTCCTGGCACCTCGGCTGGCGATTTCCGGTGGTTCCAATTCGCGTCCCCTACTTTCGACCCGTCTCTCATGGAGATATTCGTCACGCTGGGCAGTGGCGGAACTCTCTGCTCGGCACCTCGGAGCCTGACGCTTACTGACCTGGAAGGAACAATCAACGAGGCCAGAGCAACCGTAATGATGGCAACGCCAAGCCTAGCAGCACTTCTTCGACCCTCCCGATTGACTACCCTTAAATCTTTGTGGACAATGGGAGAAAAGCTCAATCGGACAGTCATCGACAACTTCTCTCAAAAGGCGTACAACAACGACGCGAACGGGCACTCTGTCCCGGCGACAAGGATGCTAGTCAACGCATATGGTCCCACCGAAGCAGCAATCAACTGCACATTCCTCGCACCAGTCGAGTATCACACCCGTGGATCAATCATTGGCGAGGCACTTCCCACATGCGCAATGTTTGTCCTCGACCCAACCTCCCATACCCCTAAAGCAACTCCAGCTGGTCTCGCTGGAGAGCTTGCGATCGGAGGGCCTCAGGTCAGCCAAGGCTACTTGAATCGCCCCAAAGAAACTGCGAAATCCTTTGTCCAAAGTTCTGACTACGGATACCTCTACCGAACAGGTGACATGGCTCGCATTGTCTGGGATGAGAAAGGCGCACAAGTCATTGAGTTTCTTGGGAGAATCACATCTGACCAGGTGAAGATCAGCGGTCGTCGAGTTGAGTTGGGGGAGATTGAGTCTGTCCTTACCACCTTGACGGGAGTGCGAGAGGTTGTGTCGGCAGTCTCCAAGCGTGATGCAACGGTACAAGGCAGTGAGGAAATTGTGGCATGCATTGTGACGGACTCGCCTGGCGAGGACGCAAGACGAGAATTTGTCCAATTGGCAGATGAAAGAACGCATCGTCATCTTCCTGCATACATGTGTCCATCGTCTTATCTCTTCTTTGACTCACTCCCGCGATCAAGCTCTGGTAAGGTCGACCGTAAAGCTATCGACAGCATGCTGCAACAAGGCGAAGATAGTGGTATCAAGTTCTACCTCCCTTCGAACAAGGTTTCGGAAGCGCGGGAGACGGCGCAGGATGATTGGGATGCCCTTGATAATGAGAAAGCTCTGGAGCTACGAAATCTTGTCCTCAGTCTCATTTCGACAACCACTGGCGAGGAGCCCTCTGTGATTAAACCCAGCACGAGTCTCTATTCGCTGGGCTTGGACTCTCTGGGCGCGATGCGATTATTACAGAAGCTGAGAGATCAATCCATTGACCATTTATCGGTGGGCGATGTACTACAGTCAGATACCATAAAGGGGCTACTTTCACTCATTCTGAATGGTAAAGCAAAGCTAGAAGGGCTTACCAATGGACAGCCGGCGAATCACCCATCTATGTTCTTGACGCAGCAGCTGCAAGCGTTTAACGATACGAACCGCTCGACATGCGCTGAAAGGCTTGGAATAAGCCCAGAGAGAATTCAGACCGTCCTACCCACTACGGAAACGCAGTCTGGTATGCTAACGAGCTTCCTACGTAGCTCAGCCGATAGCTCGTTTGCTACTCGGTCCTACGTCTATCATTCTGTCATTTCACTCGAGCCTTATGTGGATATTGAGCGGCTGAAGAAGGCCTGGGAGTCAGTGATCAGAAGTTATGATTCCTTCCGAACGATTTTCTGCTGGCTTGACGATGACATGGCTCCCTTTGCGCAATGTATTCTCAAAGAAGATGCAGAATCGGCACCGAACTGGGCTGTCTACCATACTCCCGGGGATTCCACGCAGAAAGATGTCCTGATCAAGGCTCTTCGAGAGGCAGAAAACACAATTACCCTGGAGCGCCCCCCATGGAAGCTATCATGGCTCGAGGGGTCAGAGGACAAGGGTATCATATTGAGCATGTTTCACGGCATATTCGATGGGGGCTCGTTGCAACTTCTCTTGGAAGACGTGTCGTCGGTTTATGGTGGACAGCCACCAGCACGCCGAACCTCGTTAGAGCATGTTGTTAAACACCATTTTCAGACAAATCAAACAGCAACATCGAACTTTTGGAGAGAATATCTGAATAACTATTCGCCAATTGCTTTCCCTTCTCTGACCGCCTACCGAACTCCAGCTGTTAAGATCACGGACTGCGTCGAAATGACGGCTCGCACAACCCATGATATTCTCAAGCGACGATCGAGAACAATCGGGTCAACACCACTTTCTGTCCTTCAGGCGGCCTGGGCCTGTCTTCTACTCGCGTATACTGGAACCCAAGATCAAGACGTGGTCATGGGTAGTGTTGTATCTGGACGTTTCGATCCTGACTCCGAAGTTTGCGTTGGTCCGACTTTCACGACGATTCCTGCTAGGTTGGCGCTCGGGCAGATTCCTAAGGCTGGGGGAAGATTGTGGACAAACAAATCTGTTGTGGCTCATTTGGCGAGTCTGAACGCAAAAACATTATCGCATCTGCAACCACGTCTCGGATCATTAGTCACCGCCGATGGTAGGCTTCCCTATGACACGATTCTTGCCTACCAGGACTTCAGCGCCGGCTCCAGCACTAGTGGTCTATGGAAGTCAATCGATCATCCCCCAATGGCGAACGATTACGCCGTGATGATTGAGGTTTGGCCTGCTGCAGACTCGTCGTTGACCATGCGCGCAAGCTTCCATCTCTCTCAAATGGACCGCGACGGGGCCGAGATGATGCTCCATCAATTGGACGACATCGTTGCTTTTATCCTTGAGAATCCGGAAGGAGATTTCGAGAATGCTCTGTTGTATACCCGTTCTCACCTCAAGGCAGTATACAACCCAATGCCGAAGATGGCCGATGAAGTTTTCGACGGAGCTCTGATACACACCAAATTTGAGGATCATGCCAATTTACATCCAGAGGACATGGCGCTTTTATTCAAGTACGACCTCGATGATGACCATAATCCGCGAAACATTTCATGGTCGTACGGGGAGCTTAACGCACGGGCTGATCATTTGGCATCATACCTTTGTGAGACATACGGACAATTGACAAACACAGTGATACCCGTTTGTATCGAGAAAAGCCCCGCGATGTATATTGCCATTCTGGGTATCCTCAAGGCTGGCGGCGCATGGTGCCCTATTGATACATTTTCCCCCGCACAGCGTCGGCATGATTTAATTGAACGAACTGGAGCCAGAGTGCTCCTCGTTTCTAGTGAGGATGGAGCGCAACCGAAGGATGCCATTCCCGTTGATATCGATGTCGTTGATGTTAGTAAATACGCTGATCCGCTGGTCAGTTGGCCGAGCATCGACCGAGGCAGCTCAAAGAAGCTGTCAAGTCCGGCGGGCATATCATACCTGATCTGGACGAGTGGAACCACTGGTGCTCCCAAGGGCGTACCGATTACGCACTCGGCTGCCGTGTGCAGTTTCAAGTCACTCAGGAAGGACATCCCATCTGACGTTTCTGGCGGCGTTGTGCGATGTTTGCAATTTTCTCAGTACACGTTCGATGTGTCAATTCAGGACATCTTCTATACCTGGAGCTTGGGAGGGGTGCTGATCTCTGCAACTAGAGAAATCATGCTTGGGTCATTCGCAAAGCTGGCGAATACCACGCGAGCAACCCATGCGCATCTGACCCCTGCCTTCGCCGCTGGTGTCCCGAGAAAAAGCTGTGAAACGCTGGAGGTGATTACCATGATCGGCGAGAAGCTAACACAGCCCGTTGCCGACGACTGGGGCACGGATATGAGAGCCTATAACACCTACGGCCCGGCGGAAGCGACAATCGTCTCTACCGTGCGAGAATTTGGAAATGAGTGCATGAACATCAAGAGCGCCAATATTGGCTGGCCCCTGGAAAGTGTCTCGGTTTTCGTCACGAGGAATCGGCAAATTGTGATGAAGAATGCCGTTGGGGAGTTGGCGCTGGGCGGTCCACAACTTTCTCCGGGATACTTGAATCAAGAGGATGTCACCAAGGCGAAGTATGTTTGGAGCGACGAAGCTCGACAGATGCTGTACTACACGGGCGATCTTGTTCGGATGCTCGCTGACGGGTCACTGGAGTATATCAATCGTGTTGACGACTTGGTGAAACTTGGCGGTATTCGTGTTGAGTTGAGCGAGATCAGCTTCTCCCTCGGCGGATGCCACCCACTGGTTGATAATATCGAGACGCTCGTTGTTAACCGGCCCGATCGGCCGAGCAAGGTTGTCGTTGCTTTCCTCTCTGCACCAAATGCGGCCGAAGGCGATGCGAGCGACGGTCTTCTACTACTCAACGACACCGCTCTCGAGATTGCTCTCTCTACACGCGAGAAGGCGCATACGGTTCTCCCCGCTCACATGATTCCGTCCGTATACCTCGTAGTCAAGAGGATTCCTCGTACCCAGTCCGCTAAAACAGACCGCCGCGCGCTCCAAGCTGCATATGCTTCAGTGGATATCGAGAACTGGGAAACACGGATGAATCCTGAAAACAATGCTTTAGGCCACCCGGCGGACGACCCAGTAACATCCAGTGCGATAGAAAAGATTGTGCAAACGATAGCCTCGCTTACCAATATTTCACCTTCGATCATAACTAAAATGAGCAGGCTCAGAAGTCTAGGTATTGACTCTATCCACGCAGTTCGTCTCGCATCAAGGCTCAATGAGGCCGGGTATCAACTTTCTTTCATTGAAGTCCTCAACTGTGTCACAGTACAAGATTTGATCAGATTATCCACATCCTCTCGCGAGGTTCGCAGAGCGCCGGCTGCTCAGTTCGACATGAACCTTTTCAATGACCAGTGGCACAACATTGTGGCCCCGAAAGTGGACGACGAGTTTTTCACTGTGCGAGCAACCCCCATCCAGGAGAGCCTGCTTAGTGAGACAATGGGCACTTACAACCTGTACTGGAGTAATCACTTCTTCTCTCTTGAGAGGTCTGTTGATGTGACACGGCTGAAGCAAGCTTGGTTTGCACTTTGCCAAAAGAACGAGGCCTTGCGGACTGGGTTCATTCCTGTTGCCGAGGTGGATAACAGTCCTCGCAAGGACGAACTGGACTTCTCCATCTTGCAGGTCATTTACGATCACTCCACTCTTGATTGGGAGTATACAGTGTGCGAAGAGCATGAGTGGGATCGATTACTTCACTCTCGCATTGAAGGTGTCATGAAGACACACCAGAAGACTTATTTCAGGCAGCCCCCCTGGGCAGTTACTGTATTGGACAAGGGTGTAGAACGGGTCATGGTGCTGACTATTCACCATTCTATACATGACGGGCCATCTTTAGATCTGATGGAAAAGGATTTACGTTCTGCATATACCGACAAGCCACCCTCCAGATACCAACTTAGTAGCGCGCTTTCCAAGATCCTTCCAACAGAGGAAATGGTTGCTGGGACCCGCAGCTTCTGGAACGCTGAGCTTCAGAAATTCTCTGAGCTTGATGTCCCCGCCTGGCCGGACTTGACTGGGAAGAGGACACAAGAGAGCGCCGCGCAGGAGCACAATCTCATCTCAGAGCAAATACCCCTGACGGAGCCTCTTGCAAAGCTTCGATCCCTCTCAGCCGAGCTCGGTGTCTCCTCCATTGCTTCCCTCATTCGTGCGGCGTGGGGTTTCGTATCGCTGAGTTACCTTGGTATTCCGGCAACTGTGTTTGCGGAGACAATTTCTGACCGTGTGCTGCATGCTGACCTCGAGAATGGCATTGGTCCCTTGATTTCCGTTGTGCCAGTGCCATTTAACCCAACAGGAACTGCCCGGGAGGTTCTTGCAGAACAGCAGCGTGTCTCTGCTCAATCGAGGAAGTACCGCCATATACACGCTCGCGAGGTGCGCAAGATGCTCAAACGGCCTCGTGGTGAGCCCTTGTATCCGGCAGTATTCACCTTTCACCCGGCGGGTGCAGAGGCGAACGTCGCTGCTGACAATGGTCTGTGGCGTGAGCTTGAGGATCGAATTGGGTTGCACGTTGAGCACCCTATGGCCTTCAACGTACTGCAAAATCCTGACGGGTCCCTGGTTCTAGAAGCGTCTTCTGATGCATCTCTCATGAACCATAAACACCTGTCTGTCTTTGTTCGCCAGGTTGACAGTCTCGTCAGCGCGATGTTGGCGAACCCAGATAAGGAGCTACGGGAACTGGTCAATCACCTTCCCCCTTTGCTCAAATCAAAATCGTCGCAGCGTGTTAGTGAGGCAGTTAGGAATTCAGTTAACATCAGCCCAACGCACTGGCTGGAGCTCAATGCCAGGGAACATCCGGAGTGGACAGCCGTCGAAGTGGCCAGCAGCATCAGTGCCAGCGGCATCGAGAAGCAAAGTATGAGCTACGGTACGCTGAATGCTGCAGCGAACTGCGTGGCGGCCTTCATCGCCTCGCTGGGATACAAAAATAGAATGATTTCTGTTTGCGCTGGACGAAATCTTCCGTCGTACCCCGTCATCGTCGGTATCTTCAAATCAGGAAATACCTATCTCCCCATTGACGACAACCTTCCAAATGATCGAAAAGCATTTCTCATCGAGGATGGCAACTGCCCGCTTGTCTTCACCGAGTCGGCATTTGCGGCTACATTCTCCGATGTCCCCGAAACGTGCCGTGTGATGTGCATTGACGATCCCTCCTTCGTTGATTCCCTGGCAGGCATGCCGACTGACAATCGGGCGTATCCAAGTGACCCACAAGACAACGCCTACGTGCTTTACACGTCAGGCTCTACAGGGAAGCCTAAGGGTGTCATGGTGTCAAGGGCGAATCTGTCGTCATTTATCGAATCGTTCTCGGAATTCGTTTGTCGAGTGGCGCCAGCCACACTGGAACTTGGTGGTCGAGGTCGGTATCTTGCACAAGCCAGTCGAGCGTTTGACGTCCATCTCTTAGAAATGTTCTTCCCCTGGCGTCATGGCATGGCCTCCGTAACTGCTGCGCGAACAATGCTTTTGGATGATCTGCAGTTGACAATCACGAAGTGGGGCATTACTCATGCCAGTATGGTGCCGTCCTTGGTTGACCAGACAAATCTACGGCCAGAACTATGCCCAGAACTGAAATACCTGAGTGTTGGAGGGGAGAAGATTTCGAAGAGAGTATTGGACACTTGGGCTGGCTTGCCGCATGTCGCCCTGGCCAATGCGTATGGACCAACGGAAGTCACTATTGGTTGCACATTCGCCCATGTTGGCAAAGAGACCACCATTCGGAATATTGGGCCTCCCTTGAGCGCCTGTACTTGCCACGTTCTAATCCCCGGAACCGTGAACTACGCCCTTCGTGGTCAAACGGGAGAACTGTGTTTCACCGGTGACCTTGTGGGCAACGGATATCTAAACAGACCGGATGCGACTGGCTTTGTGCAAGGCCCTGGCGGCGAAAAGATGTACAGAACCGGGGACATTGGTCGCCTGATGATTGATGACACTGTGGAATATATTGGTCGCGGCGACGACCAAACCAAGATCCGCGGGCAGCGGTTGGAACTCGGGGAGGTCTCAGAGGTTATTCGTTCCTCTTCTCCCGTCGAGATTGGTGTAGTCACCACGGTTGCGAAGCATCCCAGTCTCGCGAGAGCGCAGCTAATCTCGTTTGTTGCCCGAGCTGGTGACAAGAGCCGTCAGCGTAGCGGAGATGCCACCTTAATTCACTCTGACTTGGCAACCTTGTGCAAGGACCTTCGGGACGCCTGCAAGCGAAAGCTGCCAGACTACATGGTTCCCGAGATCATCCTGCCAATCACATATATCCCACTGGCACCAATGTCAGGGAAGGCAAATATCAAGCAGCTGCACGGCATCTTCTCAAGCTTGCCCCTTGTGAGCATTCTACAAGGAAACAATCCAGGCACTAGCGACACTGCTGCTTTCACTGGTAGACCTTTGACTTCCGATGAAGAAGCTGTAGTCAACGAAATCTGCGCTGTGATCAAGATCCACCAGGAGAGTATCAATCCATTAACAAACATTTTTGAGATCGGCCTGGATAGCTTAAGCGCAATCAGCTTATCGGTGAAGCTCCGGAACATAGGATACGACGCTACTGTCGCCCTTGTGATGGGCAACCCGGTAGTCGAGCAGCTTGCTCAGCTCCCCAGAAGCTCAACCAAGGCCGCAACAGATCCGCGCAATGCAGAGTTGATGAAGAGACTCTCTGAGCTCGAGGCCGAATACCACAGGAACTATACCTCAGCTGCAAATTCCGGTCAGGTAGTTGTACGGCCATGCCTTCCTCTTCAGGAGGGTCTAGTCGCCCGCTCCATCAACAGCGAAGGGGATCAGCTCTATGTCAATCATATTGCTCTCGAGCTCGATCCTGGTCTCGATTCTGAGCGATTGAGGTGCGCATGGCAAGCTACTGCTGACAATAATGAGATCCTCCGGACTTGCTTTGCTCCTTTGGAGAAAGAGATCGTTCAAATTGTTTTCACTCCAGGCCGTCCAATATCATGGACGGAGGAAGAATACGACAGCCTCGAGCAATCCATTACGCTGCAAAGAGCGAAGCAGCAACAGATTTCTCGCGGTATCATCGAAAATATCACAGATGTCCCACCAGTGCGATTCCACTTGGCAACGTCATCGTCGTCGAAACATTCATTGGTTTTGTTCATTGCAATTCACCACGCTCTCTATGACGGCGAATCGTTCTCGATGCTCATCGAGGACGTCGCGGCGCGCTATGTAGGAGAGCCTGTGCTCCAGCGAGGCTCACCAGCCGCTTTTATCGAGCATGTATATGGTCAGAATCTGGAGAAGGCACGGCAACACTGGGCGAGCGCGTTCAGTGATTGTCGGCCTACAATCTTCCGTGTGGACACTGGTGCTGTAGAGGAGACTACCTTCGTGAACAAAAAGCTCCGTGCCGGCCTGGCTGATTTGGAACGTCGTTCGGCCAATTTGCACAGTACAGTCCCGTCCCTGATGCAAGCACTCTTTGCCCTTCTCCTGGCTGATAAAGTCAACGCGTCCGACGTCACTTATGGACTTGTCCTCTCCGGTCGGGCTGTGGCAGTCCCCGGTGTGGATTCCGTGCTCCTGCCTTGCATTACGACCATTCCGGGTCGATTGAATACCAATGGCTTGTCAACTGTCGCTGAGGTTGTCGCGTACGTTCAACAATCAAATGCCCGGTCCCTTGAGTATCAACACACCTCGCTGCGCCGTATTCAACGTTGGCTGAAGTTGGAAAAGCCTGTCTTCGACTGCCTCTTCTCCTACATCCGCAGCACACCAGCACTCAAGCACAAATTGTGGGAGGAGCTCGAGAGTAACATGCCTTCCGAGTACCCCCTTGCCGTTGAGATCGAAGCGAATCATGCTAAGGACGAATTGTACGTTCATTGTGGCTTTTCGGCATCGTTCGGTTCAGTCGACCGTGGGCAAGAATTTGTTGAGAAACTCGACGCGCTGTTGTCAACCTTCTTGTCTGGAGACGACATTGCGTTGGACAGCTTCAGTCTTGCTGGTTCTGGAGCTCCTGGCTCACGCGAATCTGCAGTGAAATGGGAGGAAACAGATTGGTCTACGACTGAGACAAAGATTCGGGACATCACGGCGACTTTCTGTGGTCTCGACGTGGTGAATGTGTCGAAGGGAACGTCATTTATCAGTCTCGGTATTGACTCGGTGACCGCTATCCAATTTGCACGGAAGCTCCGCGAGCTGCAGTTTAGAGTTGCACCGTCAGATATCATGCGCTTCCCGTGTGTTGGCGCGTTAGCCAAACACATTGACGAGCGTCCAGCTGGGGGACACCAGGCAGTACGCCCCGAAACCAAGAAGGCCAGAGTCTCGCTTGAGGCTTACCGTGACAACGTTCGTCTTCTTAGTGCTGGAGATTCAATCGCGGCAATGTTTGAGTGCACGCCTCTGCAAGCGGGCATGATCACTCGGACACTTGGATCTGACTCTCAAGTTTATGTACACCCCCACATTGTTCGACTCACTAATGGCGTCGACATTGATCGCCTCAAGAATGCTATTGCAGAGGTCGTCTCGAAAAACGATATTCTCCGTACTTCGTTCCATCCTAACACTGAGAATGGAGTGATCTGGGTTGGTGCGGTGCACACAAATCCTCCTCTCCAGTGGAAGGAGATCACACTGGCCTCGAACGCGGATGTCCTCGCCGAGATAACCTCCCTGTCCTCTTTCCGGGAAGAGGCCGATTTTGAGACTCCACCACTCAGATTTGTACTGGCTCATCAGGGAAATGAGACGCTTTTTGTTGTGCTCATGCATCATGCTCTTTATGATGGTGCCTCATTGCCTCTCCTCTTCGACGATTTGGCCGCTGCTTACCACGGCCAAGCTATGGCACAGCGGCCTCAATTTTCTGATATTGCCCCCCACATACTGGATGGTCAGAATGACTCTTGCGATTTCTGGACAAAGAAACTGGCTGGTTACGAGCCTGTCGAGATTCCTGCTCTCACTTCTTCGGATGCTACTGAGCGCATGCTCCTTTCAGAGCGCAAAATTGGCCTTGACGTGGGCAAGGTTGTTGAAAGGTGCAAGGCCATGGAGGTAACCATTCAAAGTATCGCCCTCTTGGCTTATGCAAAGGTCGTCGCTTGCCTGTTCGGGAAGCGCGATGTGGTCTTCGGTCAAGTCCTCGCTGGTCGCTCATTACCAGTTCCTGGTGCCGAGCAGACCATTGGCCCGCTGTTTAACACTGTAGCTCAGAGAGTCTCGTTTGAGCCTACGTTCTTGAGCAACCGTGAGATGGCCCAACGAGTCCAACAGCTTACCTCTGAGTCACAGATTTTTCAGCACGCGCCCTTGAAGGATGTGCAGAAGGCTCTGAGGCAAGAACATAGCATGGATGCTGCCTCACTATTCGACACACTCTTCGTATTCCAGAAGAGTGCTGACATTGGGACTAGGCTGGATGAACAACAGATTTGGAGACCTTTCGAGACAGATGGATACGCTGCGCAGGCTGAACATAAACTCAATTTGGAGGTAGATCACGGCCAAGAAGCTATTACCATCAGCGCCTCGTGCAACGGTCGCTACATGTGCCAACAAGCGCTTGATCAGTTTATGATGGACTTCTGTGAAGCATTCCGAGACATCATTGATCATCCTACCAGATGCGCCACTGCTGCGCCGGAGCGACTTGGTGGACTACCTCTTCGATTGTCCAAGACTAAGAAACCAGAACGAGGTGAAAGCGAGACTGACGCACCTGCACACGAGTCGATTGTTCGTGATGTCCTCGCTGAGGTGGCCGGCGTTCCAGTTGACAGCATCATGCCAAACACCAGCATTTACAATATTGGTTTAGACTCATTGTCTGCCATTCGCATCGCTTCCATTTGCCGAAGCAGAGGATTAAAGGCAGGTGTGGCTGATATCCTTCAAGGAAACACTCTACGAGGTATCAGTTCACGGATTGTATCAACGGTCGAGAAACGCATTCAAACCCAAGAGCCCCTGATTGAAGATTATGAAGCCGTGGAAAAGACAGTTCTTCAGCGGCTCGAGCTAATCAAGGACGCGGTCGAGACCATCCTGCCGTGTCTCAGTGGTCAGCTGTACCATCTTGCCAGCTGGTTGAAGTCAGGACGAACCTTGTTCGAACCTGCTTGGTCTTACTACAGCATTGAACGTATCGATAGTGCTAAGCTTGAGAAGGCGTGGTATCAACTACGTCAACGACATCCTATTCTAAGGACTTGCTTCGCGGCAACTTCACCATCAATGGCCATTCAGATTGTGCTCAAACAGGCACCACGGAACGCGGAGATATTCAAGGTCATCGAGTCTCCCGCTTGCATTGAAGAAGCGGCCAAAACCCAGGCTAGGGAAGAGGCGTTGAATGCATCATCTTTGTTTGTTCCTCCTGTCCGCCTCCGTCTTCTGAAGGCTAGCGACAAGGACGGAATCCAAGTTTTCATCAATCACGCTGCATACGACGCATGGACAATGCCGATGTTTGTCTCTGAGCTCGCACTGCTGTACCGCGGGGAGTCAGTCAATTCAAATCCGGACTTCCCCTCTTTCGTCGAGCACGCCACACGGTCTTTGCGAGAAGTGGACGAAGAAACCTACTGGTCTTCGCAGCTTGGCTCCAGCGCTCCAACGATCATCAAGCCCAAGGATCAGGAACTACCCAGGCAATCATTTGTCGGCGCATGGGAGAAGGTCAAGAATCTGTCTCAACTGGAAAGCAACTGTCGTTCTGTAGGCCTCAGTCTACAGACTGTAGTCCTACTGGCCGTGTCCCGCTGTCTTGCAAGAATGACCGGGGTGCAAAGTCCCACCATCGGCTTGTACCAGACAGGTCGCTCAGCCTCGTTCAATAACATTGAGAATATATTAGGACCTTGTCTGAATGTTACGCCGTTTACATTCCCCAGCCCAGGAGCTGAAAGCAACGTGGTAGACGAAGTGCGAGCAATTCAAGCCTCCCTTGCAGAACGTGTGCTATACGAGCAGAGCTGCCTACGCGATATCCTAGTGAGATGGGCTAGTACCAAAGGTAGAGGACCACTGTTCAACACCTGGGTTAACCTCCTCTGGATGCACCAGGCACCTGCTCGAGGTGACGCGGATCTCTTCCAGCCTCTGCGGATCGGGGTGCCAACGGACTTCATACCCGATTCCCCGTTACCGGACCCAAGCGGGCAGGCTACCTCCGTCTCGGCGTTGGATACCGCATACCTGCCTGCTGAGAACCTTTATATTGATATTGGGCCTGATCCTAGGACGGATACCATCGGGTTTGGTGTCCGCGTGGAAGGTGGACTTTTGACGGAGGCGGAGGTGCATGAGATGGTGGATGATGTCAGTGGTGAGATTGAAGGGATTATGGCTGCAATTCGGTGAGGCAGTTACACGCTGAGGTTTGAATTGTGCCAGTTTGTATAGTATGGAAGAGGGCGATGAGGAGGGGAAGTTGAAAGATGAGATGTTTAGAAGTGCACTGTGGCCGAGTGGACTGACTCCACGGTCAGGCCTATATTCTGAGGGTGGATAGAGCAAAAGATAGACAGAGAAGAAGCATACACAATAGATGTCATTTAATGTTTAGGGTCTTGGACTAAGGCTCGTTCTGGATCAGCGCGTAGAGCATGTCCATAACCTTCGAGTCTTCTTCAGGTGCGGAAGAAAGAAATGAAAACGTGAATGAACTCCGTTGAATAATCCTCTCATATGAATAGAACACCTGCAACAATCAAGCATAATATTGACTGCGTAGATCCACCTAGACAAAGCTACATATGTGGGTTTCGCGTTCACCTACACCCTTGTGGCAGCGCAGTTTCCATTCTTCCCATAAACTCAAGAGCAATATCCGGTGACAGTCTAGCTATTCAAATATCACATCCAACAAGCGAAGCCATCCTTCTCCCTGCAAGATCTTTTCAAGAAATGCGGTGGGCCAATTGTGCCTCATGAAAGAAGCTCTGCATCCCTAGCGTAGACTCTGAATGTAGTCATCTAATTCTGTTTCGCGAATTGTCAATGACAAGTATGATTCAGACAGTCAATGGTCGATTCATACATCCTGCAATGGGAAGCTCGTGATATTATCATTGGGCCAAATCCACACCATCACTAACGATCGCAAGAAATCGAGACGGTCATCGAAATGTGTCACATGTCTCGGTGGATGATATTCGGACCATCTGGGCGGTTCGCAAACCCTGTTGATGTTGAGGACACCAGGATTAGAATTGGAGGATCTGGTCACCGCGAAACAGTTCAAAAGACATTTGCTCCGGCCGCGTGAGCATATATCCAGTGTTCCAGGTCGATTGTCGCAGGTTGGAAGAAGCCTGAGACTGGCGAGGCGCCTGGTAGATTGGGATGTAAGTATGGTGTTGAATATGCTCTCTGCCAAAGGTTCATCAATGGCTGCGTTGATGCAGAGTGCTCTCGCTTTCTGGATTACAGCAAAGCCGTAATCGGGGATCCCCCCCGGCATAGAGCGAAGATCTACATTGTCATCCGGGTCATCTGCGCTCGGGACGCAATCAAGCTCTACGCAGAGGTGCACCAGAGAAGGGAAACCACCGAGTGCTTTGTAAGCCTTTACCTCAGGAGCTCGGCCCTGCACACGGTGGACGGTGACGTGCAGCTCTCGGAGGACCGGGCACTTTTTCGCGAAACGGGCAATCTCCTGCGCGTTGTAGTACGGACGTGTCTGTTCCTGCGGCCGGATGTCGTGTTCAATGTTGCGTGAGTCGAGTCCGAGGCTCTGTAAGGTGGCACCGTGGCGGGACAAGACCTTGCTGAGGAAGGGCGCGTTGCGGTTTCCGACCAGCCAGAGACCCTTGAGGGGGCGCAATGCCATCATCATCTCTTCCACCGAGCGCCAGTACTCGCGACTTCTCCTAGGGGTCACCTGTAGGTTGAGCGAGAGCCGTTCGAGACGCTGAAACGATGGTGCAACTGCGCAAATGGTTCGAGCGAGGGCGGGTTCATCGATGTAGCCGATGCTCCAGGTACGCAGATGTTCTATATTGGTCTTCTGACGCCATTGATTGAAGCGTTGGACCGACATCACGGTGTTTAGGGAAAAGGACAAGGTTTCGAGACGGGCAACGGCGGTGGATGCTCCATCGGTCGGCTCGAAGGCGTAGATACGCTGGTCCACAAAGTGAATCTCTGGCACCAATACGAGATCGACCTTTTTCAGATTTGGAGCAAGAGACAACGAGCGCAGAATGGCTGACTCGATTACCTCGTCATTCCTGGCGTTGCGGTAGTAATAGCAGCGGATCGAGTGGAGGCACGGCGAGGTAACCACGGCCATATCCCTGTCGCTAAGACCCTGGTGTTTCCAAGCTTGAAGGTAGAAATAGAGCAGGTTCAGCTTGCAAGAAGGGTGGTATTTATGTAGAACATCTAGGACTTCCTGCGGGAAGCGCAGAGCACGAACATAATTCACCTCTCTCAGACTCGACACGGACGCGATGAACCTGGCGAGCGGAGCATGGTCGGGGGTAGTGGTATCCCTGCGACAGAGCCGGAAAGTATGTCTTTGCCAGAGCTCACGATCGAGGAAATCATCCAGCATAATAGGTCCCTCTGCGGCTTCTTGCTCAGCAGCTAGCTGGAGACTTTTTTTCCCGCTTGCCCCGACGAGGTCCAGACGACGCAGGTATCGAAGGTATTGCTTGCGCAGTGGATGTTTTAGCAGCTGTTCGACATCTTCTTTAAGTTCCTCCGTCGTAGTGAGGCATAGCTGTAGCCTTTCATACAGAACGGGCACGGCAGCCTGATACCAGGTATGGTTCACAAGACTCAACTCTTGCAAAGTCTTCCGGCTGGTTGCCATAGCCTAGATGTCTTTTGTCAGTGGACATATTCAATCAGGGAACGGAAGACGTACTGATGCACATATCATGTGCTTGATCTCGAAGGGAAGGTCGTCCATGTTTGAAGATCTGGGAGATGAAGGAGGAAGGAGAAATGACGGTCAGTGATCTGCCTTTTTAAATCAGAGAATGTCAAGGTGGAGCGAAGCAGTACGCGATTTTTCGCATCTTACACACTTTTTCACATCTTGCACACATGTTCACTTGTTCACCTTAAATTCCTTCTTTCCATTCTCTTACCCTCTACATTTGCTGATGTGGCTCTTCTCCTATCTTCATCTTTCCTTCACACAATCCTTCTAAGGTGACGGAGTTTTTGAATAAAGCCTGCACTAGAGCGCCATCTAGCTTGGAAAAAGACACTGAGAAGGATAGCTTCAGAGCTTATCACAGTTGTGAACAACAAGAAGATTCTCAAGCCAGGGGGCAATGTAGTGGGAAAGAGACCCATCTCGACAACGTTTCTTCCATAGCAGCCAAAAAGTAGAGGTCTAGAAAGTCAGAGGTCATCCAGCAAGGCTGTATCAGCAGTGACTGGACTCTCCGACGGCTCTTTCCCTCGCAACCATGGCAAAGTCTACGAGACACGGATGGTTGAGAACGTCAATGGCGGTAGGTCAAACCCTCTTGCGCACGGCTGTGGGACGTTTTTTTGGACTGCTGGTAGTGTCGGCCTCTCATTTCCTTTTCATAAATCCGCTATCGAGTGCGTTCCTTTATAGTTTGGAGGCTCCTGTATCGAACTACAGAAATGATACGAATCACATTGTCTGGGACATATCGTAGCCTTAATGCTTCTCGTGAAAACACAAGTAGATTCACCGAGCAAGATCCGATATGTAATGCATCCTGTGACTACCTAGATTGTAGACCGACTGATAATCCCAAGACAAATCAAGCGTCAGTCATACAGACTGCCAAGTTGAGCCCAGCCACGCCCTATCCACAAATTGCATCAGCTAGCAAGAGGCAACGCTGGGAACATTCTCGCAGCTGCCGTAGGTCTTGCCGCCGGTCACAGCGACGCTCTTCCAGGTCCAGTTAGAGCAGGCCCCACTGCCACAGACAATGGCGATATTGTAGCCGCTCGACGACACTGCGCCTGAGCCACTGATGTTCTCGACGACCAGGTCGGTGATGGGGATGCCGGATGTCGGGTCGCCCTTGAGATCGCCGCCGTCGTAGTTCTGTTCAATGAGAATACCGTACCTTGACGGTGTTAGATTAATCAGACTGCTTGCTATATGGGTAATCTGAGAAGAACTCACTTGGTGATGGAGCTCAGGGTGATTCCTGAGTAGGTGACTCCCGTGATTGTACCGGTGTCGCCTTCGGTGGCCTTGATGCGGATACCTGTCTCGTAATTAGAAGTTTATTCTTGGTGATACAGAGGGACGATCATACCGTTAGCCGAGTTCTTGACCTCAGAGTTCTCAAAGGTAACGGTATCGACGGTATTATCGGATCGGCCACCAACGCTGCCAATCGACAGCCCATGGCCACCGGAGCAGACCCCACCGCTGAAGGTGATATCAGTGCCGGAATTGACGGCGACACAGTCGTCCTGGTTGTAGACGTTCGCCCCTGTAATGACGACGTTGGAGCTGGAGCCAATATCAAATCCGTCGGTGTTGTGGCCGCCTGCACTGTCACCGGCTGAATTGTCAATCGTCATGTCGGTGATGGTCAGGCCATCGCATCCGTTGATGCTGACCGCCTGGACAGGCGTGTTCTGGATGTGGAGATTGGTGATGGACGACGAGGTGAGATCATGCGCGTAGAAGAACTTGGGCTTCGTCTTGCCGCCGTTGCTGCCCTCGCCGTCCCACCAGCGGGCGCCGTCGGGGTTCAGGTACGCACCCGACGCACCCTCGACTTTGATGTTTGTACCGGAGATCTGCAGCAGGGGGCCCGACCACTCCTCGTAGCCCCAGGTTGTCTCGCCCTCGAAGATGACCTAAGAGCATTAGACCATTGGCTGATGATTGGGGTTGATAGCGGAGATGGGGTTCCTACTGTGGTATCATCTGCCAGCTTGCTGAGATCCAAGGTCGTACCAGAGGGCACAGCGATGTTAGACAAGACGATAGTAGAGCAGGCTGTCTGAGAGGCACTCGCAGAGGAGGCCCCCTTGGACCCGGAGAACGTGCAAGTCGTCGCCCGTTTCGCCAGAGTTGGGGACGGGGTGATAATTGGCTCGGCGACGGGCGAGGCAATGACCTCGGCCGCGGAGGCAAGGAGCACGAGAGAACCGATCAGTTTCAACATTTCGATTGCAATTGGACCTGAGAAGAAGAACTGTGTTGTGGTTTGGAGACAGCCACTGCTCACTCCGGTGTCGTCGTTGATTCCTTATATAGGAATAGGACGCCTACATCTGGTATCCTCGTTTCCGGCCATTGATGAAGAGCTCTAGTGCCCTCTCTAGGCCGCAAAGAGCTGTTCATCGTTTCTCCTCCAATAGCCTCATCCTGGAGCTACTCTGGCCATGTTCCATTGGTGGTAAATATATTGCTGCAGAAATGAATCGCCAGCTAAGCAATATGAAGAAAGCTTGCAAGGCGGAAGAAACCACAAGCATTTCCGCGCAGTCTCTTGCTTCCGGGGAAACATGGAGAGCAACCAATGGAAGGAGAGCAACAGGCCAAATAATGCACTTCATATGATCAATTTAATGTTTTTTGGCTCCTGATGGCTGCCCCGGTGTCTCAGTTGACGCAATGTCGTTTACCCCAGACCGGCTATCTCTAGCCCAGTCTGTTACCCCACAAACCTGCCTTTTTTCCACCACTTGATTTACTCTGCGGAGTCGGCAGTTCTTGCAGAAGGGTAGCCTAGTCCGTTGTTAGCGTATTGGTATGAGCCTTAGTGGGCGTAGTCGGTACAAGTACATAGCCTAATAGGCCACAGCGGATCATTAGTACCAGCCTAGCGAGGGCTGAGACACCACCAGAGCTATGCAGGACCATGACGGTGTTGTTTTCCGTTCCTGATCTGGCTAGAAATTCTCTGATCTTACCTATTATGCTTTGATCCATTATGGATGTGGAAGGAAGACTCTGGGTCGGCCTGCTCAACACAGTCTAATAACCGTTCCCAGCGGGCGCCAAGACACGTTATGAGAATTAGAAATGCTTTGTAACAAATCCAATACTGATTCTAAATTTGGAACCGGATTGCAGATACAGTCCGGTTGAACCACTATCTAATCCAACTCCAACCTCAGAGCGTCGTATTGCACATACACGGTCCCCGGTAGAATGGCAGTCTCCGTATCCGTCGCGTTGTAGGGCAGATGCAGAGTCAGGGTATTCTCGCCGACCTTGAGCCAGTCCGCAGGGAACTGCATCCGTGAGCGAACCTGGTAGCAGCTCACCGCAGAACGCACGATACAGCTACTCGACTGATTGAAGCCAATCACAAAGGAGAGGGGCTCCTTCTGGTCGTTGATGTAGCTCTCATGGGAGAGGTTGATGTACGGCTCTGCGGCATTGTACACGTCCGTGTTGCCAGAGGCCGTCTTGGCACCGGCAAGCTGGATAGTCAGGGTAGCCTTCTTGGTCTTTCGGAGCTGCTTGTTCGTCAGGGAGAAGTTGATCTTCCAGTCGTGCGTGGTGTTGTGCTCGATATCCGGGTTGTCAGGTGTGGGGCCAAAGACCGACCAGTGCACTGTGTTGAAGTCTGTCGCTGGGTCGCTGCTGCCGATCTTGTAGTTGATGCCCTTGGGGAAGTCGGATTGCCAGTCGTATGCGCCCCAGTAGATCAGATACTCTGGCGGGTGTAGTGGGTGTGTGGGATCGCGCGCGACACCATGGCGGAACTCGCCGGAGGACTTGTCCGGGCTACCAAGCCGCCAGACCTCAGTGCCAGCCGACTCGGCGCGCCATTTCTCTTTCACAGTGGTGGTCTTGCCAGCCTTGACGCTCACGCCGTCGCGCACAAAGTCGCCGAAGATGCCGTCAGCGTAGACGGTCAGTCGGTACTTGCCTTCGACAACGCGATCGATGCTGAACTTGCCGCTAGAGTCAATGTCCGTCCAGTACTGGTATGAGGATGGAACGACGCTGTTATCCTGGAAGTACTGGCCGTCCACGGTAAGGATGGCAATAGGCTTGGTGGCACCCTTGGGAAGGCTGAGCTGACCCTTGATGCTGCCGCGCTTCTGGGAAGGCACGTAGCCGACGACATGCTTGGCGATTGAGTCATAGAAGTCGGCATTCCAGCTGGGATCAGCCAGCCTTGCGGCTTCCGATCGCAAATCCTCAAGGGAAGAGGTGGAACCCTTGCCCCCGTTGAAGAGGTAAAACTGAGGGCCGAATGTCCGGTCAAAGCCATTGGTGATGTTGGGTGTACCTTCACCGTGGTGGTTGGAGACAATATAGTTGTAGACGATACCGTCGACGGTCAAATCGGAGTGCAGCGGGCCCTATTTTGTTAGTTTCGTCAACGAACCGAGGTCAAGGGAACATACTCCATAGTAGGTGTCCTGCTCATCTCGTTAGCACCGCATATTGATATGTTGATAATCAATACTAACCTTTGTGTTCATGACTAACCAGGCGCCGTAGGTCGAGCCGTTGGAGTTCGAGCCATCTCCGTAAAGTCCGTGGACGTCGTTATCACGCCATTCTATAGTCTGTTAAATCGAATTATACCACATGAGCGAATGCGACCTACGGTTCGAAAACGTGTACTTGGTGAAATAATCCGAGAATTGGGTGTAGTACGCATCGTCCGGGGTGTTGTTGAATCGCCATGTGGCGTCCTGGACAACCACCTCCTTGCTCACAGCGTTCTTGCTCGGTAGTGGAGCCGTCTGGAGCTCACTGGACGTAAGATGTGTCCACAACTGCGTGTTCGGCCTGAAGAGCGTGCGGAACTCTTGCAGGTTGCGAAGGAAGGGAGTGGTCTCGTTGTAGTAAGCCAAACGGCTGAACATGTGCAGCCCCGTCTCACCATCACGCAAGAACCAGTATTGCTGGAACTGCTGCCCAGTGGGAGTATAGGTATCATTCAGGATGACTCCGGCGTACTTGGTTCCGGTCGTGTCGGTTCCTTCGACATACTGCATGGTCGGTTTTGTGGCGCCCGCGGTGTAGAAACCAGAAGGAATGCAGTAGCAGTCGAGGTAGGGTCCAATACCCGTAGAGCCGGATTGAGGTCCGAGAAGATCCTGACCGTCGAGGAACATATCGACAACTGATCCCTTGCTCTTGTTCCAAACAGCTTTGAAACGGTCATTTTTGAGAGTGATGGTGCTGTTATCCTCGGCGACCTGCAACGCTGCCAGCGCAACGCCAGCCCAGGCGGACGCCGCACCTAAAGAAGTAGCGAAACGCATTGCGGTGGCTAACCGTCAGCAATTGATCCACAGCGAGGGTGAAGCCCAGGGGCTAGCAGGCATCATGGGGCGACCCTGCGCGGTATTTGAACCCGCCCCAGACTGGCAAGGTTCTATGATCGCGGCATGGAATGTCCCGAGATCACTTGAAGGTCAACTTCAAGCTCTGCTGCTGTTACAAGCGAGAAGCCGCAATCAGGGGATGGCGGTGTTTATCCTATCGAGTAACGGGCCAAGACTGCGGGCTGCGGAGCCCCAGAAAATGTGGTAAATGCGGGGAAACTGTTGGACCAACATGTGGCGCCATGGGAAGCGACGGAAAAATTATTCGGTCATCATTGACCCGATGAAGCTCAAGGGTCTGACATGGGTATAGATTGAGACCGAGCAGCGATGCGGGGGAGCAGGAGTCAAGAGAATACCAAGGCGCCACTGATTGTGTCCTGGATCCCTTCGTCCACTTCGTTCTCCCCGTGTTGTCATTTCATTAGCTTGAACACGCCATGATTTCAGCCTAGAGTCTCGCAACAGAAGCCATGCAATGATCAAGGGAAATTGATCGATTGAGCGACTTTTTTTGCAGGAACTGCATGCGTACCACATGGTTTCCACAAAAATTATCAAAGATTGTGCGCCAACATATCCATGAGACCGCTGTTCCTCGGTCTGGCGTCCACTGCAGCAGAAACGACCGGAATTCGGTCTTTTGAGAAGATGGTTTATACCCTCAAGCCGAAGCCCACGCATCGTTCAATCGGTTGACTAGACAGACATCCAGGCGAGACGTTTCCGATCGCTGAAGGACAGAAATCATGAACAGGAGTGACTCTGTGGTAGGAATTTATCGGCAAATACAAAGAGACGCTTGGTGGGGCGACGGGCATAAACTGAGGCGACAATAACCATGTTGGGGAAATAGTAAGGTGTGCCTGATCCAGAGATTCCACTTCTCTATCTGCAGCCACCGCTGGTGTTTCAGGACAATGGTTGCCTTTGTGGTACTCGAACATCGTTGATATCACACTTAACACGCCATGATAGCCCCCAGAATATAGTCGACCTGACCGCAATGCCAATAGTGTCGGACTGTCTTCCGTCAGATCATCACCCAATCACGGCTAATGGTGAGGTGGGACAAAGCCAAGAAGGAGTTATAGAGGTTACCCCTTGCTTCCCCATGGCGTCCCTTGCATCCGATTCCATATGATAAAGGAGGGAGACTGCTTGCCAAACCTCAACTCTGCTTGCCCTGTGGTACTGTCTTGCCATAACTCGTGTGTGGAATGATGTCGTTCTTAACGGGCGACATGCTCGACGCCTCCGGGGATAAAAAGAGTAGTGCCTCTGAAGTCTCTGTTCGTATCGGAAATGTCCTACCGTCGCCTCAAAGGGAGGCAGCGACATCGCCCAATTCTGATGATCCTCACAACTGGCCCAAATGGAAGAAAAACGCCCAGATCCTGATGGTCGCTTTCCATTCTATGGTGGCGACCTTCATGGGGGCGGGAATCATTCCGGCGTACGATGCCATGGCCGAGGAGTATGCGGTGACCGTGCAGGACGCGAGCTATCTGACCTCATTTCAGGTGAGTATTGACCAATCTTCAAGTCATGGTAGTGAATCTGAGGTTGCTAACCTTGTTACATCCTATAGATTCTCTTCCTTGGCGTAGTTCCTCTCTTCTGGAAACCTATCACAACCATCTATGGCCGCTACCACGTCTTCATATTCTCTGTACTGGGCAGCATGGTCTGCAACATTGGTGGTGGATGGTGCACAACCTACGGTGCGCAGATGGCTACTCGCATCCTCACCGCGATCCTCATCTCGCCTGCCCTCGGTATTGGAAGTGGTGTCATCACCGACTTGTGCGAGCCGGAAGAGCGGGCCCAAAAACTGGGCTGGTGGACGTTGATGCTCACGCTTGGCACGCCGGCAGGACCCCTCATTATGGGCTTTGTCATTCAGCATGCTGGCGTGGAATGGGTATACTGGATCTTTGCGATCATAAACTTCATCCAGTTCATCGGGTACCTGCTCTTCGGTGCGGAGTCAATGCATGTCCCCGATCTAGACGGATACCCCAACACCAGTGAGCCCAAAACTGGGTTCCTGGCGAAACTGGCTCCTCGACGGATCGACCCGCGTCCTCTAACGCTGCGGGAATTCATCAGGCCTCTCGTTCTAGCACGGTACCCCCGGGTGTTAATTCCAGCCATCGCGCACAGCATTGTCTTCGCGTACGGCAATGTTGCCCTGATCGTGGAATTGCCCATCGTCTTTGGCGAGAAGTTTCACTTTAGTGCTCAGACGATCGGGCTGCAGTACATTGCCATTATCATCGGATGCTTCCTAGGTGAGCAGCTCAGCGGGCCCATGTCCGACTGGTTTTTGCAATCTCTGGACAGAAGCAAGGGCCGCCATATCGCTGCAGACCGTCTGTGGCTTTCGTATATTGGATTCGGCACAGTCATCGCCGGACTCTTGGTCTGGGGTTTGCAGCTGGACAAAGCGACCTCCTGGAATGTCACGCCGGGTGTCGGCGCTGCGATTGCCAGTTTCGGCAACCAAATCTGCACCACCATCCTAATCTCGTTTGCCGTTGACAGCTATGGCGACGAAGCGACCAATATCGGTGTTTGTATCAATATTTTCCGAAACATCTGGGGTTTTGTAAGTGTGACGTGGAACCACCTCGCCCTTGTCGCTGACCAGCCATTGTCTAGATTGCCCCGTTCTATCTTCCTCTCATGTTTGAGACTCTGAGGCTGTCCGGTGCAGCGGGCGTCATGTGCGGAATAATTGTTGGGGCCGCGCTCCTCCCGATAGTAGCCATTCATTTTACTGCCACTCGATCGGATCACAGCTAGGGCAGCCAGTCGTGTTCGTTCTTATTGGAGTTGTAAAATCTTAGATGTCACCAATCGCTGCGCGGTTTTCAGGTGGCATGTTCAATCCTGCGTCGAATCCGAATAAACTCATTTCACCTTACCGTTGGATTCACTTCAATAAAGATTACTCGGCACACTGTTCAGCCACGACATATCCTGAAAATCAGGCATATCAAACCCGTCCAACAAGACTGCATTCATGCCTTCGCCAAGGGACATGTCGTTCATGGTGCTAGAAGGGTTGGGTTGAGCATTGTTCGGCGGCTCATTCTGTGCCGGTCCTTCGGACACGACTCTTTCGTAGAGGATCTCCAAAGCTGCGACGCACCGTCGAGCGGATGAGCTGTAGCTGTGGTATCTTCGCAATATTTCAAGGGCGCAGTTCCAGGATCTAGTTACCGCTGTTTCTGTTACTTCTTCGAGGATAGCTGACCGGAGACGGCCAGCGATCAGGACCGTCGCCGCCGTGTAGACATCTTCCTTGTCAGTACACTCTCAATTGAAGGATTTAATATGACTTACAAAGAATATTGTACCACCAGGCTGGAAGTGGCCCGGAAGTACCATCGGCAGGGATATTGCTGTGTATCAATTCAATGACCTCTTGCGCAGCCTTGACGCAGATTACGGAGCACTGCTGCGCAACTCGATGAGGAAATGAATCATTCACTAGGATAAGCGGATCGTGGGGTGTGATCTCGCGAGCAGTACAATACTTGGACAAAATTGGTCTGAACAGTAGCATCCGGACATGTAGGAATCTGGTGTGGCCTCAGCTCGCATACCATTTAGGTCAGAAAAGGCAACTTACCGAGCTCTCAAAACCACACTCTGGTGGTAGAAAACGGCATCCTCAGGCTTGGGGGATGTAGCTCCTCGAAGATGAGACGGTAGGCTTCGAGTCCATTTGGTGAGAGCTCGATCGAGCTCGAAGATCGTACGTTCGCCTTCATCTGGTCCTTTGTTGAAGTAGAAATCGTAGATGTCTTCTGGGCTCTCTTCCGGAACAGGTTTGTAGAGACTGAGCAGAATATCGTTCAGAATCTCGTAGAGTTCAAGAGACTTGGCGTAGAAAGCCATGACTGAAGGACGGTCCGCGGGTTGTCTCACTTCACCACCCAGAGCTGCGGGAATGTACTCCTCGTCCACTGTGGCCGGCAGCGGAACAGAGCCACAAGATGCCTTAGAGATCATGGCTGGTCGTCCGAACGTCATCGAGATAACCCTGCCGTCGTTAGAAGACAGATTCTTTCTTCACTGTGGTACAAACTCACCTGTCCATAAGAACACATCCGTGCCAGATTTTCCGTGCTAGTTGCTGTTCTTGAAAGCTTGATAGACGGGCAATGGTCTGTGGAAGATGCAGGCCCAGACTTTGAGCGTTCCGAATCGCCAACCCAGTAACAATCCAGCATTGGTGTGCCGAGTCGGTACTTTGTAGGTACTGAGCCATCAGCAGAAGGCACTGGATCAGACCAAAAGAGCCACTATGCCAGAGGTTGAAGTGTAGGAGGTCTTTTGCGCGCGAGAAGAAAGCATCTGCAGAGGCTTCACGCTCATCCGGCGGGATGAAATCAGCCAATTGACAGGCTAAAGCAAAGATGACGTTGAACGTGCACATGAGCATATTCTCGTCTGAATTGAGCGTTTCTCCGGTCCAGATCTTACTGTACTCTGCTCGCAAGTGAATGCTGTCTACCAGCGGATAGAGAGGAAACACAAAGCACCAGTACACCTCCATAAGGCTATCGGCTGTTTTTCTTGGAGGAAGCACGTAGTTGGATATGGACGAGGGTCTTTCGGTCCTCCTGGATAGAAGACTCGATTGCGGCGTAGTTCCCAGTATGGACTCGGATGTTCGGCGGTTGGGTGAGTCCACCCTCTTTTCCACAGCTGTTTTGATCTGACGCATGAAGCTGGCAGCACTTGAGCTGCCAAAGAATCCTTGTGTCTGGCGCTCCTCCTCCAGAGAACCCATCATCGCATTCACGCCATCATCTCGTCCCTCAATGCCTGAAGGTCGTTCTGATCGGCCCCGGTACGGGTGCAGAGTACCGTTGTTCATCGGGTGACGGCAAACTGCATTGCTTGGCTGCATTCCTTGACAGGGACTGCAGGATGGAGATGGTTGGCCTCCATTGCCTGCAGAGAAGCCATTTCTGCTATCAAACCGGTTGAGAGGAATTGTTTGGGATGGACTGAGCGGTCCCGACGACTGGACACCTGAAGGTGAGGCCTGATTGAATGGCGATGTAGACTACTAAAAGTAAACCCGTGCTCTACGAGAAGACAAGAATCAGATGCTGACCTGCGTATAGCGTGACGCCTGCTGCCCATCGTCCGACCGTCTCGGCACATAACCCGGGGCCTCCAGATGCTTGATTCTATCCTCCAAGCTAGCGATGTAGCTGCGGCAATCGAAATAAGATCAGCTGGCCTGGTCATCAAGCAATCAGTGCCTCAGGCAAAAACTCACTTGCGCACGGCTCTTCGTTTCTCCGGCTCACCAGTGTAAACACATCGCGCATCTGATCGCTTCGTACACGGCCCACAATCTACAAAGAATGAGGGACGCAGTCAGCAGGCGGTTCTTTTTCCGAATACGGAGTAACTTTGACGCGGGGAGTCGGCAAAAATCCAGTGAGGCCTACCGGGTTGGATGCCGTCGCACCGGACCTTTCGGGCGCGACATTCATCACAAGCGACCGCGACTTTGCGTCGTTTCGGGCGGTTTCCGGACTCTTCATCCGGGCGTTGCTGGGTAGAAGATGAGCTGGTCATTTATATGATGGGTATCATGCAGTGATGATCCTTGTACAGGATATTGATGCAGGTGTGACTGTGGGTAGGAGGAAAAGCGTCCGGCGTGTTTGGGAGGAACGGCACTGGACCCGGGGGGCCGGGTGCGATTCCGGCTGCCTCAGGCAGACGAGCATTTATTTTCAATGTTCATCCATAACATCGAGATTGAGATTTGAATATATCACTGATTGAATGATATAAAACAACTTCACTGGCATTGCCTTAATCATGACAAAGGTGTATCCGCTCACGCGTAAGTGGAGGGTTGGGTTGTTGTCACTCCATCTCAAAATATATATTCTGTTTAACAGTGCAAACTGCCGCAAGATATAGAAAACCAGCCACTTTATAGCAGTAGTATTCCTCATTACAAGACAGGCATTATTCATGGGAGATTGAAGGCAAATGCGTCGGCATCCAGGACTTCGTCATTTAGGTATGGAGGTGTTCTAGCCGCATTGTTCTGAGATTTTCTTCATCATAACATACCCAAGGACAACAAATTGGCTTTAACGGTTTCATTATGGGAGCGAACCAAGTCCTAGTCTTATGGGCGCGGGTAACAAGGGTACAATTGCTAATGGACATGGCTTGCAATGCATGAGAAATCGGTTGGATTACAGTACAAATCTAGGGAAGCAGAGTGACAATTAAGAGTATATTCTAGATTATTAACACTTGTCTAGTCCAATAGGACGGAGTGTACAAAGTTGAAAGTCCAGATGATGAGCCGAAGACCGATCATCCGATCAAGAAGAGAAACTTTTGTATCCGCCAGGAGCATGCAGCTGTACACCAAGTGCTATATGCAACCGTTGATCCCGAAGATATTGAACAAAGGTTCGAGAAGACGGCATCACTCGCGACTGGCTTAGATGATGGAGCCGAGAGCAACGCAGGGCAGAGCAACGTTGACGAGACCGCCAGTCTGTTACCGTCAGAAGAGTGTCAACCAGGGAAAGATTGAAGGGACTTACGGCAGTGGTATCGGAATCCTGGCAGCAAGCAACGTTCTGCTGGCATTGCTTGTTGAGCAAATCGCTGAGACCGAGAAGGCCTGGAAAATGTTAGAGGCATAGCTTCTCTGGACTTTTGATAGAGTGCTTACCGGTGACCGAGATCTTCTGGCAGCCAGACAGGATACCGACACCCTCAGGGCCACTGAGGGTGTTGCCGAGCAGGCCGTTCAGGGCGCCGTAGTTGAAGGACTTGGTGTCGCCGACCTTGGAGACATGGTTGCAGCAAGACAGAGTGGTCTTCTCACCGCACTTGTTCTGCGCCTGCTCCAGAGTGTACTCGTTGGCGTTGTCGAACACAGGGTGGACGGAGGGAGCTCCGCCGGGAAGAGCCAGAGCGGTGGCAGCGAGGAGAGAGGCAACAGCGAGGAACTTCATTTTGATGATGGGTTGAAGTAAAGAGTTTACTTGGAAGCGCCGAGGAAGTGAGAGAAGATTGTTTGAGTGGATTGGATGGATTGTTTGAGTGTGTTGATGAAGAGGCAGAACGGCAGGATTCGACCGTCTTTTTATACCTTTGGCTACGCTCTTGAGGGATGTTGTTTTCGATGCAGATTGGCTGAGTGATTCCGTCTCGAACAATCAACGCCACTGACGAGCTCCTTGCTGGAGCTCATTCAACTCTCGATCATGCTGAGGCTGGATCTGAGGTGAAGGCTTCAATAGTCCGCATCCACAGATTGATGCAGGAACCAATCCTGCAGCGCATTGGGTGCGACTCCAGCCACCGTAGCACAGTTTGATAGCCATCGAAAATGAATTCTCCACTGTGCAAAGATTCTGCAACTGAGTTTGAGTACAAACTCTTTCTCCAAGCTCGAATCTGCAGGCTGACCAGGGTTGGCGAATGTGATATATGATCTATCGCACATGGATCTCCGCATACAGTAGTCCCAACACCCATCGTGGCCTGAATTCAAAGAGACTGTGCATGAATTATTGGTTTTATGTCTTGAAATTTATTATTCTTTCTTTTCCGTTCGGCAATAAAAGCCAGTAGGACCAGTAAAGCCATGTGTCTGGTGAGGCCCCTGCATTCAATAGTTTATCCCTTGCAGCCTCTGTAGAGCTAATTATGGCTTTCCAGCTAACTTCCCCATACTATGGCATGATATTCTATGCTTTAAGCCCTTACCTGATTTTTGATTTTATAGTCTGAGTTCATTATACCTCAGAGTTATGTGGAAATTACAGTGTAGAATAGTTCTCTATGAGTATGCAAATAGTACAATGGAGTGACCTTTCCAAGGTTACAGTATGCACACTACAAAGCCAGGAACAGCTCCCTGCTTTTCTCATAGAAAAAGGAATAACCTTGGCTTGGAAGAGCGATCAAGAGGCGTTGTGTTATTGGTACACCAACTCATCACAAAAAACACATCTGACAGATCTACTCCGTACCTATTTGGCTCTATGATCTGCAATGCTGGCCGTCTTAGTCAGTATTCTATCGCCATATTTTCCTTATTCTACTTTGTACTTCCCATACTGTACTGCGTATGACTTTGCCAGAAGGATCCAGAACGGCGAGTACCTCAGTAATGACCCCAAGTTGACGCTCTTCTTCTCACTTCTCAAGTCCAAAAGATAATACGGAGTGTGGTGTGTCAGGGATAATAGTCGACACATCAGAATCAGATCACACTCGGAGGTGAAAGAAGAAAAAGAAACCCTAGATCTGCAAACTCAACCAAGAGACCTCTCAGGATCGACAGAGCTAGGTTAGGTTGCCTGGCTGCCGTACCCCGGATCTTGTTGCCTCCGATCTCTCACTGGAAGAAGCTACGGAGTACGGTAGGTAGTCATAGTTGCCCTGTCTCGGTGATCACAACATAGCATAAAGTACGTAGTACTGTAGTTCAGCATAATGATCATCAGGAAAACAGGATGATTGGTCTGATTCAAAATAACACCTTGTGATTGGACTCCTTACTGGGTACTGCTGACTGCTGATTGCTGAAAACAGCACCTTAGCAGTGAATGATGACTTTTCGCACCATAACCGCCGTCCTTCTGATTTGTCTTATTGTGTGCTTTTGAAAGGAGACAATTTTGTTCGTCCTAAGCTAATTCCACAATCTCAACGCGCTCAAATTGTCGAGAAGTACGATATCTGCTTTTTATATATTTCGAGGTTCGTTTATTGTGTTCAAATGTTGGATAGGACAAGGGCCAGCTCATACGAGCAATTATCTCTATTTGGAATTTGCTCTTCATAGGCGTACAATGCCGAGCCTTATGAAAACGAAACTTTCTTTTTCTAGGGAGTATCTAATTGTCAAAATGATTCAGTTTAGTAGACATATGCGTCGATGGCCGTGAGCCTAGACCCACCATCATCGACGATGAATGTCCTTCCAGGTAAACAAAATCCCAATGCACTCGGATGTGTTCAGCTCTTTCAATACTCGAATAAGGCCGTCATGACATGATTCCCAATGTGCCTCGAAGGACAAAGCCATGAAGATCAGCATACATACAGTTGCTGAGCTGAGCTCATACACCTCCCGTTACTATTAGTCTTTGCGTGCCTCACTCTATTAAACGATGCTTCATCAACTCCATCAAAGACAGTCTCCTATAGCTACGTGGTAAAAGCTCCAGGCTGATTACCCCCCAGTACAACAGGACTCTCCCCTTCCGCTTCCACTACATTCCGACCAGACAACTCATGTATTGTCAGCGGCCCATCAGCCGGTTTCTCCTGCAGCTTGCCTTTAGAGACAATCCTGACATCGCTGAAGGGATACGGGCCCGTCGGAGCCCTTGTCCTTCGCCACCTGACAAGGAGAACGGCCAATGCACCAAAGACAACTATCGATCCCAGACCCGCACCAAGACCAATTCCTACTTTTGCTCCTGTTGACAGGGAGGAGTCGTGTGGCTGCGATGCAGAAGTCGGTGTCGATGTTGAAGGCATAGAGGTCGCTGTCGTGCTAGAAGATGAAGATCTCGTGCTAACAGAGGTAGATGTAGCCGTCGAAGCCAAAAGCCCGACCGCAAGCGTCGGCGCAAGTGTGATCGCGTCCGAAGATCCACAGCACGCGGTATTATTCTGCCCACAGCACCAGGTCTTCGACTCGGGTGTATTCTCGCACGGCGTGAGCGGGACAGTATGCCCCGGATAGATCTAGCCAATAGCCATTAATCGATGCTGCTGCCAATACCTCCGCAAGGAAGATGAATACCTCGCCCCCAGTACAAACATTCAGACACCCATTCGTCGACCAGTCCGTGCTGGTGCACAGAGTCCGCCAGTAGGTGTAGACCATCTGGCCTGTGCTCATCCGCTGCACGATATTCTGGCACAGTCCGTTCTCCAGACAGATGTCCGCCGTCCAGCCCTTGGAATCTGGCCCGCCGGAGGCGTTGGGGCGATCTAGTGCGCAGCACATGCTGTTGACGCCTTTGACATTGTTGCATGGTTGGTAGTTGTCGTCAGCGGTGCCGTTGGGGTAGTAGCAGAGCGAGGAGACCGGGGATGGCTGGAGAAGGATGGCCAGAGAGGGGAGGAAGAAGGAAATTAATCTCTTGGATAGTCTCATAATTACATCTGATATTTCAGTTTTAGGATAGGCGATGGAGGATATAACCGTATAACAAGGATGGCGGGGGAGCATTGACGTGGTTGTGGATTATAAGGTCCTGTCTTGTCTGACAAGCTGAATCTTGTGAGACATTTATGTAACCGAGCGGTTCGCGGATCATGAAAGAAATGGAAAATGCTGTTTCTAGGCTGACTTGGTAGGGCCATTTGCTTCAGTATCTGCTGAAATAGTGATGGCCGACCGTCCAGGTGTCTCATAGCTAAGCTCATATCCAAGCCTCTTGAGTGATGGCTCATCTATTCTGCAACTAGCAGGGAGATGATTGACGTTCACTGTCGAATCAGTAGCGTCCAACCAGAAGAATGTTCAGCTTGTCAAAGCCTTACGGCAGGGATCTCACAAGGCTGTGTTTGCTTACTGCATAAGTCGTGCAGCGATTCGCCTTTGGTAATTATCGAATCAGTAGTGTATAGGTGAATTGTTTTTATGCAAGTCCTGTCCGATTGCCTGATACAGGTGCCGCCGCTTTTATGAGGGCTGCATGTGCGTGCTCAGTGAGTGACCCAGAGCACTCACTGATCGCTCACTGAGCACGCACCAGCCACTCCGGCAGCTCCCGAATTAGTTACTCTGGCGGGCTCAGTGAGTCATCAGGAAGCAGTTCCTGCTCACTCCATGTCATCACTCACGTGATTGTTCTGAGGTCTTTAAACTGTGCAGACTAAAGCTCTCTGGTCTATACAACCCATGACTTTCTCGAGGGCATCACAAAGACAAGGGCCAATTGTCTTATTTTGGTCAGCGTACACTATGGGTTACCACAACATGCTTTTCCAGTTGGACTCGGAGGAAGTCGAGGCGAAGTCACTGCCACTAACAGTCTATTCAAATGTATTTCGCCCGGACTATGAATATAAATACTGCATACGCCTTGTTACTTCTTACTTTTCACATCTCATCTTTTATGCATCGTCTACTATATTTCCTTCTGTGAATCCTGCACCAGTGTCCTGTACCCGTGTTGTCTTGACTTCTTCTGACAATGGCTGTACGTTCCGAATCATGGAAGGCCTCCCAGCGTGAAAAGAAACGACGAGCTCGCCGCGAACTTCGTCAACAGAGGGGATACGACGCAAATGCCCATCGACAGAAAGATGCCGAACGAACTAGGGGTAGAGCATCAAGGAAGACGAAAGAAAGATACAGAGAAAGGGTGCGCAAGTACGAGGAGTGAGTCAAAACGTTCTGGCGTGTAAGCATTCCAAGTCTCATTTATTCATCAGATTTCTCATCGAGGAGAGGAATATGCCTGAAAGCTATGAAGTTGGGGAGGGGCACCCAGCTCCGACACTAGAAGAACTCAAAGAGTTTATCCGCTGGCTCATTGATTCTACAAAGGGCAAGCTTGCTTCTAATGGACGACTGACAATGGACACAATTTTAGTCCGGGCTCAAGAATTCGTCCCGGGCTTTTACCTTGAGACTGGGAATGAGATTGCTCGTGATGATCGCGCCGAACTCTACCACGTAAGCTCACTTTGTATGCTCAAATGAATGTTTCTGATCATTACAGTGGATCGAAAATGAATTGGTCGAAGAGGGGGTACTGTCAACGATCAGGAAGCCAAAGTACGATTTGGATTTCGAGCGTGCTATTATTGCTCTCTGGGCTATTGATGACCCATTTTTCATATCTGGGAGGTATCGTGTTCAGTTTCATCTTATTACTCTCCAGTTTCTATGCACAGGTGCCCGAGTGTCGTCTTTCACACCTGCATCAGAAAACAAAGTTGGACGAGGACTCCGTTACAGAGTAGGACTCTACCGTAACTTGGTTTATTTCCTGAATGCTAACGCTAGTCAGAATATTGAGCTCGTACTGTTCCGTGCCGATAATGCTCCTTGGAGGATTGGATGGCGGCTTGACCAGCAGTTCGTCAAGAACAACAAAGACCCCGAGAATACGATGTATGCGGATTACCACCCACTGCTGGCCTTTTTAGTTCTAGTTTACTTAGATACTGATGTCGAAATAGGTTCGGCACTGCCATCTGGGACTGTGATGAACCCATCTATTCGGGAGCACTTTATCTTCTAGCTCTTGCCCTTGCGGATAATGCTCTCTACGGGTTTTCGTCTCCTGAAGAAGTTGTTGAGCAAAGAATACCGGAAGGGGAGGACGAACTGGTTCTTAGGTGGAACGAAGAAGCCAAAGATCGATGCATCATCCGAGGCGTCACGGCAGGCCGGGTCAGTGAAGATCCGTTGACGAAAGAAAAGTATCAAGCAGATTTTAGGAAAATCCCCGCAAATGCTTGTTATTTTATGACTGCCACGATCCATGCAATGTGCCGCGCTTTGGGGAAGGCTGTCAAGTGTGGGTCTTGCTTGTCCCCGTTCGAGCTGTCTTCACAGTTGGTTAACATCTTGCGCAGCAAAGTACTCCTCCGCTCACGTCGCCCAGATCCTGACACAGAAGTCTAAAACTGTCTATGGAAATGACTATCTCGCCAACTGTTCCGGCGTGGATGTGTTTAATGCTTTAAGAGGTAGACTCGCCGACCACACTCACATTAACTATTTTCAGGGCTACGGCCAATTCCACGAACATGGCCTCCCACGCCGGCTACCTATAGAAGAGGAACGAAAGATCGATGCAAACCCGCGTCTGGTCGCCAAAGCCATGGAAATTCAAAATGCAGAGTCCAACGGGGATACTAATCGCCTGAAGCGCAACTACAGCATTCTCAAGAGAGGGATCTATTCCAGCACGCTTCAACGATACCAAAGTGAATGGGTCCAGAGTCAGCGTGATTGGAAGATTCTGACCCGGGGCCGGGAACGCCCGGACCATGCAGAGCAAACTGCAGAAAAGCAAGCTCAGTGCAAGCTCATGCCCGAATTAGGTCGCTTAGCGGCTATCATGTCGTCTAAGGAGCCTCTTTCGTTTGACGAAAAAGCCGTCGCTGTGAAAGATTTATACACTCAATGCCTCCGAGACTTTGACGTGGTCTACCGCCCGGGAGAGGAGCCCCTTGATGGCCGATGCCCTGTGGATGGTTGTGGTAAATCTATGGAGTCGTGAGCCCGCCTATTGATATCATGTACATGTCCTCTGCTGACCTTGCACAGATTTCGAAAGCATGAGAGGAGCAACCACATCCATTCTTGCGTTCGACGAGAAGTGTCTCGTACAAATGGAATCCCTCCCGAAAAGGTCAAGTATTGTTGGGAGTGCTTCAACTTCCATGACGAAAGAAGCCCTGAGTTCGAAGAGCATTGTGCAGGGCATCTCCCATCAATGACCAGTCAGCATTACGAAGTGATGGTGTATCGCAATACTATCATCCGTGCCGGATAGTGTATTGAGTGCATGTGGGATCGCGGAAAAAGCGCTGCACGCAGAATGACAGCGTTTGAAAGAAGCACAGAACTGAGAAGCCACCTGGATGAGCATATCAACGAAAAGTCGTGGCCGTCCGATTGCTCTGACCCTCTCTGTAGCCACGTATCTACCGATGAGCAGCATTACCGGCGACACCTCCATGACGCGCACCATTACAACAAAGCAATTTGCGTACCATCTGAGAAGGCCCGCAAGAAGCGATCGTCCTCTGAAATTGACGAGGAATCTGTCGCGGACGGGAACCCACCTAAGCGGCAGAGACGCCCTCGGAGACAACGGAAGACGACTTTGGCACCCTCAAATGCTAGTACAAAGGACCTGAAGATCATTCTCTGGGGGCCTCCCACAACAAACCCCCAGGCCATGTTCCCTCTCCCCGCTGAGGCAGAGCATGAGAATGAAGAGTGCCTGAAGGATCTGACCTGTCAAGCAATCAATCACTGCGAGAACTTTAGCGAAACACTTTATATAGGTCAGGATGGCGACAGTATCCGCTCGGCCTCATCTGATACTCCGAACCTCACTGATAATCCGGGCCCCTCAGCAATCAGCTCGGTTCCCGGCACTATTCCAATCGACCCGCGGATTCTGGATGTATCTACGACTATCTTATCTTACCTAGGAGGTGAGCTCCAACAGTACGATGAGTGTAACCTCAGCGAGCAGTTGGCGAGCAGCCCTTTGGCAGAGCAGCCTTGAATTCATTTCCCGTCTCAAACATCGCGCACTGGCCCAGCCCTAAAAGGTATCGAATCTCACGGCGTCACTGTTCCCGAGACCGGTAACAAGCTCATTTTTTCCCCCACCATCACCTCCAAGTCCACTGAGCGAGGAGCCGGAGCGAGGGTTGCTGGGAGATGAATTGTCGGCCGTTGCGGAGCTGCCTCCGACCATCCAAAGCTCTTTCAGCGTGTGCACAACCGGAAGTGAGATAGCGGCGGGTCTTGCATCAGCAGGGCCATTAACACGAGCCAAAGCAAGAGCGCAAACAGTCAAGTCTCGTGAAAAGTCTATAAATTCACACATCTCGGCTCGGAAGGCCGGGCCTTACAGCCCGGAAGAGGACCAGTTACTGAAGGCCCTAATGCAGAAGGCAGCGCGCGTCGAACATATAACGCAGGCCTTCCAGAGGCGTTTTCCCAACCGCTCCACAACTTCTCTGAGGAAACGTTGGCTGCTAATACGGCCATCATTACGGCGGTCGACCAGATCAAGGCCTCTTAGACATGACACATAAAGGTTGATGAGCTTGTGTATAAATTACTTGAGTGCATCTTTACCGTTGCATAGAAATCAATAAGTTTGAGAGCCGGAACCTTTTTGCTTTCGACTGAGTTTGATAATCACTATCATCCCCCTGCTGCTTCCGGAAATAGTAATGTATAAATGTACTACAGAATCTCTTACCTCCCCGGATCTGAGGGGTCTGCCAGAGATATACGCGTAATATCGAACCGTCGGAAGGGTCGAAAGGGCTTCACTTCGGAAAGAGATTACGTATACCTTGTGCCGACGAAGTAGGACAAGAACGAGACGTCTGCAATCTGAGTGATTTCCAACAACGCGTAGTTAAGGGTACGGACCAGACCATGACTCACTGTTGGAGTGCTGTTTCGATTACATTACCGTACAAGCCTTGTTTTGGCGATACCTTTTTATGCACCGCCACAAATCAAGCCTGACAAAATGAGACCGTCAGATGGTAAAATAACAATGGTAAGCCGCAGTCACAGTAAAGTCACACCGTTTTGATAACCTGTAATAACCATGCATGCTCTCATGTAACTTTTGCCCACCTTAGTACTCGATCTTGTCACTTATGTTGCCTACTCTTTCCTTCCGTTGTGACCCTCTACGGCGTGACATCTTCATGGGCCGAGCGTCTTTCTTCTGTAACGGATGGTACCTCTTATCAAAGATCTTCCTCCCCCCCCCCCCCCCCCCCCCGGAGAGAATGTTTGCGCGTTTCTTTGAATCCACATTCTCTAGCTAAATGTACTTCCTTCCAGTGCTGTCTCATTGATCTGCCATTGCCACTAACACAAGCTCGTGATACCTGCCGCAGGCTTGTAACATTCTACTGCGCTTCTTACCGGCGATTCCTTCCCATCTACTCGATAATATGGAAAGGACAGCATCCTTGAGAACATTTGCCGCTGACGTGATGTGACAGAACGATTCTCCCTACTAACCTACTTTTCCGGAATTCGGCGGCTACGAGCACAGCGGATTCGTCAAGAATGGCCGTTCTACAAGCAGTAAAGGACGCAAGATATCATCCAGCCATGCTGGCCGAAATATACTGCCTAGCAACCGAACTGCTCGAGCTCTTCCTTCCCGCGGCCGGCAAATTCCTACCTAGAGTTCATCGTTGTGTTATTATCTGCGACTACGGGACGCCCATAAATATAGCTTTTCCTCCATATCTGCACCCCTCACGATTGGAAGCCATATTAGCCCTATAGGCAGAGGAAAGCTGGACCCCACAGGGTGACATTTCAAATGGTGACTTCATTCCTTTCTAGAACAAAATTCCATCATGCCGGCTCCCCTCATCGTATTGACCATATTGAGCCAGCCGCAAGGAGCAAAAAGAACGGCTCTAGGAAGCGAGAGCGAAGACGGGGGACAAGGGCAATATGGTAACTGGTCTTCTAAAGAGAAAGAAACATTTCTTGATGCGCGCCAGGAGTTTCATTTCTGGGTCGTGATCTGGATATCAATCCACTACCATGAATCCAACGGGAAGGTCCGTGCCAATGCCCGAGAAGTTTGGAACTACGTAGAAAACACTACGAAGCTCTGGTTCCGTGGCCATCCGGCTGCGAACTAAGTTCTCCGGCAGATAAGCCACGAGAGAAAACATTATCAAAAACACCATGGAGATTTTTGAGCAGTATTTCGAGTAGTCTTCACCAATGGATTGGCAGCGGAAAGGGGGCCGGTAATGCATGTGCTGAGATCTTGATGAGCTTCTTAGCTCCTCAGATTGGAGAATGAAATATGAGGAACGAATTGTAGCTACCACATCTAGGGGAAATAGCAAGGTCTCGTCTATCAACTTGCTTTACAGGAAAGTGGTCTTATACCATATATCCGCTCAGACTATGACAGTCGGGGACAGTCGCTGTTTGAAGACGCCAATACATTCTTTGCGTTGTCGAGGATTTTGTCCAAAATGCTCAACCACCCAAAGCTTCCCAAGGTCTATTTTATCGTTGACGCACTGGACGAGTGTCAGACAGATTTGCAACCATTACTTAAGCTCATCATAGAACATGCCTCGTCGTCACGGCTGTGGTGCCTTGTATCAAGTCGACCCAGAGATGAGAATAGGGGCCTCCTAGGCGTCAGCGGCTGCTGCACCGAGCTTGACCTCGATGAAAACGCGCTGGAGAATGTAAAGACCGTGGCAAGGGCTTATATTGACTACCAGATAACAGATCTTACACAGCGAAAAAAATACAGTCCGAAGCTCCAGCAAGAAGTAAAAGGTTATCTCCAACTTCATGCGGACGGCACATTTCTCTGGGTGGCTCTGATCTGCCAGCAGCTACGGAAGACCCCTTCTTTGGAAGACATTGTCTGTATTGAAATCATTTCCCTCAGGTTTGGAGCCCTTATATCAACGAATGATGGAGGGAATACATCAGCTAAAAAAAGAATCACCGGAGACGTTTGATTATTGCCGACGTATCCTTGGGTCTATCACACTTGCCCTGCGGCCACTGCATCTGAATAAGCTCGGTCGTCTGGCTGGACTTGAACCGGAACTTGCTGAAGATCAAGCGTCCCTAGAGGAGATCGTTGGATTATGTGGCAACTTTGTAGTTGTCCGCAAAGGAATGATCTATTTTGTCCATCAATCAGCCAAATATTACCTTTCTACTCATGGAAGCAAGGAGATCTTCCCAAATGGCGACGCAGTCATCCAATCTGGCATTGTTTCACGCGCGTTGGAGGACATGTCGAAGTGATATGGACTGGAGGGAATTGCAGGTCGCTGCTTATAGTTGGCGACAGGGCGCAGTTGGAGTCGCTGTCTATGACTTCATCCCATTGTAGGGCTCGGGGACGGAGGTCGTAGGGCATGTCTTGCTGCGATTGGAGAGTCATCGAATTTGTGTACATGTTCATGTCCATTTCCACTCGTAGAGCTGAGAGATGTCAATTCAATTCCTCGAGGGACGCAACGCAGTCATTATATAAGCTCGTGGCACTGGCATCACTGCGCCGGTCATGGCAGCGGAATGCAGAGTGATCGAGTCAATAGGCCATATTATTTTAATTAACTGGTTCAGAGGCCATGCGGGCGACTCAGGACCAGGTCATTTCTCAGATAAGTCGAGAGAGTGTGCTAGCTCGAGATGTATTGGGAAAATGGTCTCTGGATGTTTCTCACGACGGTCAAAACCCAGGACCCTTGAACGTCGATGTCCAAGCCGTTCGCATCTCTTCTAACAATGACAGATACTACCGTCTTGGCAATGACTCTATACCCGACCTGGCAGTGTCTGCCTTCTATTCAATTGGTGCGATGTGTGCCCGGATCTAGCCAAGTGGGACTAGGAGATGTTTGCTCCTCTGCCTGTTTTTCCGTGTTTCACCGGCCTGGCTTTACCGGCCCCATTGCTAATGTATTCTGGCAGGTGGAATTGTAGCGTGCATTGGGTGTTTGGCCGGTTATCTGATCTATCATCTGTTACTCAACATCCGTGGATATGACATGAGATGCAGCTTCACCCTCGTGGCACATGAAGGATCTCTGCCATGTGCGGATTCTAATTATAGCATAATCATCTCACCCTAATGGCCTAGGCACTGTACCAATGGAGATTTGATGCTGGCATGAGGGATGACCATGGCATTGAAGAGCAGACATTTCAATCAAACTATTCAGTTGGCAATAAACTCGTTTCCTTCTATATAGAAGATTCTGCGCACGAGATATACAGAAAACAGACTACAGCTACAGACCTTCCCAGCTCACCTTCTTCCTAACCGGCCACACTCTCGCACGAACACCCTTGCTTCCCGGTTTGGGTAGTGGGACGAACCCATCGACAGAACACTCGATATCATTTTCGGCCGTTGTCTCGAAAAGCTCCAACATCCCGATATCCTCATCCGCCTTGACCTCGGCCGATCCGTATCGGCGAAACAGCGATGCCAGCATCAGCGTCATCTCCGCATACGCCAGATTCACCCCCAGACACATCCGGCTGCCCTTGCAAAACGCCACCTGGTACCGATCCAGCCGGGGGTTTTCCAGCCACCGCTCCGGACGGAATAGCTTCGGCTGCGGGAAGATGGACGGATTCTGGAAGGTTAGCAGGCCGGTCATGCTCACGGGGGTATTGGGCGGGATGGTCCACGTTCGATGGGTATCGGGATCGGTGAAGGTGAGGGCCTCGTCTGGGGCCAGCCGCGCAAGTCGGGAACTGACGCCGTAACTGAGCCTCAGGGACTCTTGGATACACGCCGCCAGGTAGGGGAGCCGTTCAAGGTCAGTGAGGTCCGTTGCGTCCGTGGTGGCGAGCTCGTTCTTGAGCTTGCGAAGGGTCGCGGGCTGCGAGAGCAGATGGTAGACGGCGACGGTGATGGCCCACGCGGTGGTGACGGTGCCGGCCCCGACTACGGCGCCGCCGTCCTGCGCCAGACGCCGCAGAGCCTTTTCGTGCGGCGGCAGCTTGCTGTTGAGGATTTCCTGGAAGATCGTCGGATGTGGACTTTTGACATTGTTGCTAGATGTCATGGTTTCTCTGACTTGCTTTGCGATGTCCTGTTTATATTTACCCGCCGTTACCTTCGTCCGCTAAGGCCCTCTTTCAGTCTTACCGTGTGCATGCGGACGAACGAGGTCATCTCTGGATTCAATCTCAACAGCAGAGAGGGCGGCATCCGCTTCATCGTCCACAGAATGAGTGGGAATTGCTTCATCAGCATACTCGATTTGCCACCGTTTACGCAGGCGTTGTGGAACACGCTATCAAAGTCCGGGGCGTTGAGCTTGCGTTCAGACTTCCCAAAGGCGTATTCCATGATCACATCTGCCGGTAGAATAACAAAACGTCAGACATATGGGAAGCAGCCCTCGAAGCTGTGGGATTGCGAGATCTACCTGCCGAGTATGCCGCGAAGGCCCTGTCCAGTCGCACAACCGCTCCGCTGTGCTGAAACACATGAAGCCTGTCCAGGAAGGCATCAACTCGCTCCTGGATCACACATTGCAATCGTTTCACCTGGGCCTTGGAAAAGAATGGATTCAGCGCGGCGCGCCTGGACCGATGCAGATCATGCTTGGTCGTCGCAAAGGTGGATTCGTCCGCAGCAAATACTTTTGTCGCCCAGTACCACTTGTCTCTCCTCCGGTGTGCGCCCGCGTACAGTTCATCGTAGAATTCGGGGGTGTAGACATGGAGCTCATGCGGATTGATGCGCACAATGGGGCCGTATTGTTCGTGCAGGCGACGTATCTTGAAGGTATATTGGCCGCCTAGGATCACGTCGTAGTAGAACTCGTACCTTGAGAACGCTTAGTTGCAGCCCGGTTCCGAGTCCCATTAGGGGGGATTTGACAGAGAAAAGCCTACCAAAATGTACATGCTGCAAGCCTCGGACCAGGAAACGACCGCAAGGGGTGAAGATAGAGCCGGTAAATAGTAAGAGCTACTGCGTAGATCACTGTTGAGATCAATAGAAGGGACACGATGTTGTTCTGCCAATACTGCCAGACAGAAGCTGCATGTAAAATGGCCATGATCGGTCGCGCTGATGAAGATTCTGTTGCGAGAAGGATACACAGTAGAAGGGAGGTTCTCTTACATTGACCAGACTCATATAACGAGTAAGTAATATCTCCGACTAAGATGTCGCCGAACAAGATATATATAGACAGTGGAAAGAAATGTCGCCGAACATGCATATGCCAGCTGGCCGGTTGAAGCGATGATTATTATTGCCATAAAAATTGAATGACTGCATTTCCAAGAATAATACCGGGCATTTCCATTCTCTAAATATCTGAGCAGAATGACTGATCCCCGAGAGACTGAGACTGATCATGGCTCATCACCGCGTCTGGAATCCGCGTACCTGGCTCCCATGACGGGATGGAGACTCTGGGTGACCATCCTAGCGTAGGACTCCAGCACCAACAGGAATTGCTTCAAGCCCTCTAACCCTGGCCAGGCTGTTCCTGGGACTCCTGCTATCTACCCTGGAAACGACGATCGTCTCGACAGCCCTCGTCACCATTGCCTCGGAGCTGGGTAACTACGACAAGTCAAACTGGATTGTGGTGTCCTATCTCTTCTCCTATACTGGTTCGCAATACATCTTCTGCTTCTGACTTCTCAAAGCTGACTGGCACCGGACAGGCTTCCTCATCATCTACGCCAGATGCAGTGACATATTTGGTCGAAAGTCCACCTTCCTCAGTGCACTGGTAATCTTCACAGTGTTCTCCATTGCGTGTGGAGTGGCTCGTACGATAGACCAATTGTGGGTAACTGACCTGGCTTGCTCTAACACCGCTTCTTGTTGTTGACGGACTTGTAGGATTGTGTTCCGCGCGCTGCAAGGCATTGGAGGCGCCGGAATCTACAGCATGGCCATGGCTGTCATGGCCGAAGTAACTCCTGTTGATGTGATCGGCCCAGTCACCGGTCTGATGAGTTCCATCTTTGCCCTCTCCAGCATCCTGGGTCCCATCCTCGGGGGTGTACTCACTTCCCGTACGACCTGGCGGTGGGTATTCTACTTGAAGTAAGTACACTCTGGAAGTCTCTCATCTCTCGCGTCTTCTTAATCAAAATATGTAAATGACAACGCTTAATCCCAGCATTCCCGGTGGCGGTCTCGCAATAGGGCTTGTCATTTGGGTCTTTCCCCGGAACTACGGGCCGCTCCACATTTCAATATCGAGCCTGAATCGCCTTGACTGGCCGGGAATTGTGCTGTCTCTGGCAGGGTCGATATTCCTCATCCTTGCGCTGGAAGAAGGCGGCGGCGACTATGGGTGGAACAGTGGCCTGATTATCGCCTCCTTCGCTCTGTGTGGAATCTGTTGGATTGCCTTCACGATCTGGGAGGTATTGTTGGGATTTGCTGCACATAAGAAGAACCTTGGGTTTTCCTTTGCTCGGGTGATGCTGCCTGTGTTCCCAGTCTGGCTCATCAGGCGTCGAATCGTCACTGCGTGTTTACTGTACGTCGATCTGCCCTTGCTTGAATCATCGGAGAGGATCTGGTCGCTTATTGATACTGTAGATCTGCATTTCTCGCCGGCTTCCCATTTATGGTCCTCATCGTGTACCTCCCACAGCGCTTCCAGATCCAGGACGGCCTGACCCCGGTGGCGTCGGGAATCCGCATGCTCCCACTGCTCCTCCTCTCTGCCTTCGGAGCGGGTCTGGGTGGCATGGTCAACAGCCGGAAGAATATCTCATTCTACACGCTACTGGGGGGTGTGTCCCTCCAGCTCTTAGGGCTAGGGCTGATGACGACCCTTCCTACCGCAGGGAGCGTCTCGCCCGCCCAGTATGGATATCAGGTGATTTTAGGACTGGGGTTTGGGCTCACCCTGACAAGTCTGGTCATAATCTCGCGGCTGGAGGTCGACGCTAGCGATCTCGCAATTATGATGGGCGCCGTAACGCAGGTGCGCGTGCTTGGAGGCACCGTCGGCGTCTCGATCGGGCAGACGCTGCTGACTCGGTGTCTCCGGAGAGAACTGCCACGCATCCTGTCGCCTCACGAGATGAGCGTCCTGCTCTTGGATGTAGCGAGAATGGCTGACCTGAGCCCTACCAAGCGAGTGGCAGTGGGTGCAGTCTACGGACACGCGTTCAATCAGCAGATCCAAGTGGTCTTGTACCTCACGGGGGCGTGCTGGATCTGCGTGCTCGGGACATTCAAGAGACGACCGGTGGAGTTTAAAGACGCAGACAGGATGCAGCCGCACAACCGGGACTTGAATCATGCGCAAGAGGCAGGGTAATTAGTGTCTTTACTCTTTCAGTTCTAGCGGACTAGACTATCCTACTTTCATGTCAAGGCAATACCGAGAGCAATCGAAACACAGACTAGTACTCCCAAGCCGGCGACCACACATCCCGCTGCAATCCCCCATAGATCCAAGTTGTGCACCTTCCAAAAGGGCATGCGCATATCCGCCGTCTGCAGATGCATCCCACGCCGCGCGTCGGCGCCTCCCAGCTTCCTCCGTCCCTCAGAATCAGCCAGCGCTTCCTCGATGAGGTCCGCAGCCAGCCACTTCCTCCTGGACGCAATCCGCGCAATTCGTTGCACCCGCTCGCAGTTGGCCGCGAACGTGCCCGAGACGTCCGCGACGAGGGCATCGATCGCTCGGCACAGATCCGCCGGGGTGAATGTATCCCGGTCCAGCGGGATGGAGACCCCCGCGTCGCGAAGTTTCATCGCGTTGGTGAGCTGGTCAAAGTATATGCCGATCGTGATTGTGCGGACGCCATGGTAGGCTGCCTCGTTGGTGCTTGATGCGCCGGCGTGGGTGAGGAAGATGGACACCTTGGGATGGGCGAGGAGAGCGCGCTGCGGGACGAATGGGGCGAAGAGAATGGGAATGCTATCAACTCCCGAGACAAGATCTTTAATGCAGAGAGGGTTGGCTGTGGCCGCCAGATGAGGGCCAGGCACCCTCGCCGCGAGGTTGAACTGTTTCAGTGCCATGCCTCGGATCGACCAGACTACTCCGTCAATGGCCTTCCCGTCGTGCAAAGCCAAAAGGGCGCCGTGGAGGATCCGTTGGAGAATGGCGTCCAGGAGCAGCGCGTGAGTCCCGAGAGAAATGTAGAGGATGCGCTTGCGGTGTTCGACAAAGGATTCGAGCTCGGGCGTCAGGCCGGGATATGTATCCGCTAACACTGGACCTATGGCCGCCACGTTGGGAGGCAGATCCCTGGCCGGTTCTAGCCCGAAGAACGAGTTGACCAGCAGCAGATAATCGGGCTTGCTTTTTGCAACCAGTGGTCGTCGGACCCCGTGCCTCGCGCGTAGATCACGCACCCACGACCGATAGCGTAGGTAAGGGGGCAGGGCTCGGAAGGCCAACAGGTAGTTTTGTAGACGCTGCCAGACTGTCGCGTGCTCCGACGTCAGCACTCCAATCTGCAGCCCGGTTGCTCCTGGAATATAGCTGGCCGGGAGCATATTGGTAGGCATCTGTGGCCAATGCATGGCAATGGGGATATCGTGCTCGATCTGCATATCGCGAGCCGCATCGACCAGGTAGTCGGCAAGGATGAAATTGGGACGGGAGACGGGATCCTGAACCAGTTGCGAGAGAGCTGGGTAGACAGTTCCCCAGCTTGATTCAAGGCACTTTCTCGTTTCCATGATCGGTTCGAAGCTGTGTCGTAGGCCTAGTTTCCACCTCGACATTTGCAGATACGCCTGCTCCTCCGCTTCTGAGGTCTGGCCTGGTCCAAGAACGTAGACCTGGGAGACAAAGGGGTACTCTCGTGCCCAGTCCTGCTGCCCGTCTAGCGTTGCGAATTCGATTTTATGGCCCCTTGTGTTCAATATCTGGGCGATCTCGAAGATAGGAGATGCGTTGGTCTTGCCACCAGCCGTGACAACGATTAAGAACTTCCTGGAGTCGAGCATCTTTCTGGACGGAAGACAAGGTGACTGTAACGCAGGTTGCCGTAATGAGTCCACGACTGAGGACGTCGACCTCGTAAAATGACCTCGCATGGCAAAAGCTGGCTGCCCCAGAGTCCAGGGCATTGCACCGCTCCTAGCTCGAGGCGCCCAGACCAGCCAACGGATAGAGAAACTCACCACTGATTGACGAGAAATGTCACCGAAACAGCCCGGCGACTGTCACAGTATCGACATGCATATGTCGCCGTGCCTCCACGGGGACTTTTTGACACTAGTGAGCATCGTTCCATAGGAGGACATCTGGCCCACGAAGCATGGGTGGATAGACAGTGAACCAATTTCGATTGCATTGCTTCTGTCACAGTAGCAGTTGGCCCCTTTCTAACGCTAATGGTTATCTGAAGCTCGGAGAGATATACTCGATAATCGTGACATGCTCTAGGTTGGGGGTCTACAACTATCAAGGGTATTTCCATAAAGGCATGTAGCTTTCACTCAGGTCTCGAGGAGAAGATGACCTGAAACCTCGATACTCTCACAGTTCTTGTGTCTTGTATGCTCGCTTCAAGCCAAACACTTTCTGCGATACCGAAAGGAAAACAAATTCCAACAATGTTACTTTCCTCCGATCTCAGCAGGCGAACTATGACAGAGGACAAATGTATGCCCATAGCGATCGTTGGCCTGGGAGGTCGATTCCCTGGTGACGCCTCCAGCCCCGAGAGGTTATGGCAGCTCGTCTCAGAGGGCCGCAGCGCTCGGAGTGAAGTGCCCAAGGATCGGTTCAGTGTGGATGCCTTCTACCATCCTCACCATGAACGACAGGGGACTCTCAATGTGCGCCATGCACACTTCATGAACGGTGACATTGCTGCATTCGATGCCCCGTTCTTTTCCATCACGCCGGCAGAGGCAAAGGCGATGGATCCCCAACAACGCATGGCGCTGGAGTGCACCTACGAAGCATTGGAGAATGGTACGCGTGAACCCCTTCTGGCCTATTTTCTGGCTCGGAGGTTTGCGGTCTTGCTAACCATACGGTCGAATAGCCGGGCAGCGTCTGGAGGACGTTGTAGGGTCTAAAACCTCTTGCTATATCGGCTGCTTCACCAGGGACTACAGTGACATGCTTGCCTGTGACCGGGAAAATCTTCCCTTGTATCATGGAACTGGGACAGGTTCCGCGATTATGTCCAATCGGATCTCCTGGTACTTTGACCTCAAGGGGCCGAGTATCAGTCTGGACACGGCATGCTCCTCTTCGTTGGTAGCTCTCCACTTGGGGTGCCAGAGTCTCCGAACGGGAGAATCTGAAATGGTAAGGGCTAGTTCCTATAATGTATAAACTAGCGGCTGACTGTTTTGTAGTCGATCGTGGGAGGCACCAACCTGATCTTACTGCCGGATATCATGTCGGCGATGTCGGCCTTGCATTTCCTCAGCCCGGATGGGAAATGCCAGTCATTCGATTACAAGGCCAATGGTTACTCGCGCGGAGAGGGAGCTGCGGTGGTGATTCTGAAGCCCCTTCATCTGGAATTGAGGGACAATGATGTGATTCGCGCCGTCATCCGCGGGACCGCAGTGAATCAGGATGGAAATACCCCTGGAATCACACTGGCCTCTGCCACAGCACAGGAGGCCCTTATCCGGGAGACCTACGCAAATGCCGGACTGGACTTCAAGGATACAGCCTACGTCGAGGCGCACGGCACCGGTACACCGGCCGGTGACCCGGTCGAAGCCGAGGCCCTCGCAGCGACGTTTGGCAAGTCCAGATCCAAGGATGATCCGGTATTCGTCGGCTCCATTAAGACCAACATCGGCCATCTCGAGGGAGGCTCTGGTCTGGCACAAGTTGTCAAGGCAGTTTTTGCACTCGAGAAAGGTCAAATTCCCCCGAGCCTTTGGTTTGAGAGGCAGAACGATCGAATCCGACTCGAGGAGTGGGGTCTCGCCATTCCTACGAATTTGCTGTCTTGGCCGAAACCGGGCTTGAGGAGACTCAGTATCAATTCTTTCGGCTATGGCGGAACCAACGCGCATTGTATCCTCGATGATGCGTTCCACTACATGAGGTCGCGGGGCCTGAAGGGCAATCACAACACCACCACCGAAGGGGACTCACAGTCGCCAGCGTTCTCTTCAGCGGACTCCGGGGTGGCCCTCTCTTTCGACAATACATCTTTGCTCTCGGACCGCCTCAAGCTCTTAACTGACGTTGTCTATTTCTCTGACCGAAAGAGGCAGCGTGCATTGCTGTATGTGTGGTCATCCCATGAGCAGCTTGGGATTGAGCGAACGGCCAGAATGTATTCGGAGTATCTGGCGGCTCAGCAGGCAGAGGTGCAGGATAGCGAGAGTCAAACACTGCTCGGCCGCTTTGCCTATACGTTGGCCACCAGAAGGAGCGTCCTGCCGTGGAAGAGTTTTGTCTTCGCATCAACCATGAGCGAGCTTATAGACAAGCTCGCTGGATCCTGGCGTAAGCCAATCCGGTCTTCCGGGACCCCTAAGGTGGCATTCATCTTCACGGGGCAGGGGGCGCAGTGGTATGGAATGGGACGGGAACTGTGTGCCTACCAGGTCTTCAGGGAAAGCCTGGAAGCAGCCAGCACTTTTCTCGTGTCTCTCGGCTGCTCCTGGTCGCTTTTGAATGAGCTGCTGCAGGATGCGGAGTCATCACGGATCAACGCCGCTTCTTTCAGTCAGCCCATTTGTACGGCGGTTCAGGTCGCGCTGGTGGACTTGCTAAGGCATTGGGGAGTCCGCCCCCGCGCTGTTGTCGGACATTCCAGCGGCGAGATCGCCGCCGCGTATGCCAAAGGTGCCATCACTAGGGAGAGTGCATGGATGATAGCCTACCACCGTGGAAGACTGTCCGAGAGTATCCGCGGCCTTGCACCCCATCTGGATGGGGGCATGCTGGCCGTCGGGCTGGACAGGCAGAAGTCAGCAAATACCTTGACGAGATGCCGGATGCCAGGGTTGTGGTGGCTTGTGTTAATAGCCATTCCAGCACCACTCTCTCTGGCGACTCTGCCTCTATACAGGGGCTTGAAAAACGTATTCAAGCGGATGGACACTTTGCCCGTCGGCTCAAGGTGGAGACCGCGTATCATTCTCCGCACATGGAGACCATTGCCTCGCACTATCTCGACAGTCTTCACGATTTATCCCCTCTGAGGGCGGACGGGGATAAAATCAAGATATTTTCCAGCGTGACAGGGACACTTGTCAGCACTACCGATCTGGGGGCCTCATACTGGGTCGCCAACCTGCTCAAACCCGTTAACTTCCTGGGCGCCTTGAACAGTCTCCCTACACGGAGACAAACCAGGGCAAAAAAAGCAGACGTGCAGGGAAGCCTTACGCTAATATCCTCATTGAAATCGGTCCTCATTCCGCTTTGAAAGGTCCCATTAAGCAGACGCTGAGCTCCGAGCCACGAACGTCTGATGTCACCTATCTTTCGGTGCTGCAGCGTGGATTCGATGCATGTGAGACAGCTCTGCAGGTGGCGGGCGAGCTCTTCGCCTCCGGATACCCGGTTGACATTTCCCGGGTTAATCGCGAGGCGATAGCCCCAAAGTCCCAGGCGTATCTGGTCAATCTTCCCCCATTCGCATGGAACCGGCAGCAAAGATACTGGTTCGAATCGGCTGCGGCAATGAACCACCGCTTCCGCAAGCATCCACGAAAGGACCTGGTGGGCAGTTTGACTGTGGATGGCGTGGACATCGACCCCCGCTGGCGGAACATCATCCGCCTCAATGAGGCGCCGTGGATCGAGTACCACAAGGTGCAGGGCTCGATTCTATATCCGGCGGCAGGGATGATGGTGGCCGCAATCGAGGCGATGAAGAGCAGGCGGACCCGGACAGGGAGATTGCAGGATTTGAGCTCCGCGACATCCTCATTGGCAAGGCTATCGTGGTGCCGGCTGATGACCCAGGAGTCGAGATGGTGCTCTCCCTCCGGCCATGGAGACTGGGCTCTCGGGCAACTGCTTCGGCGTGGCAGGAGTTTACATTGTACACGAGACAAGAAGGCTGGGACAAGAATTGCTCGGGTCTGATTCAGGTGAAGTATAGGGAGTCAAAAAACCCCCTCTTCGTCGATGAGGATCGAGAGTCGGATCGACTCTTCAGGGACACATACCTCCAGACCGTCGAAGATTGTCCCAAGTCGGAGAATCCTCGCCAGTTCTACGAACATCTGACCACCATTGGCCTGTACTACGGGGATGTCTTCCAGAATCTGATCAACGTTAAACAAGGCCATTACAAGGGTGTCTGCTCGCTTCACATCCCAGACACGCGGAGCCGGATGCCGATGAAGTTTGAGTATGACCATGTTATCCATCCGACCACGTTGGACAGCATCATCCAGATGGCGCTTTTTGCCACGACTGCACTCGGCGAGGAGATGACAGTCGCCAAGGTGCCCACGTCCATTGACCGATTGTATGTGTCCGCAGCTGTGCCTTCGTTGCCCGGTACTCTGCTACAAGGGTACGCCCGAGTGCGGCTGACAGGATTTGACGACGGCGAGGCCACGGTTGCTGTTTCTACGCCGGATTGGGAACGGCCTCTGGTTGTCTTTGACGGCATCAAAAGCAAATCGTTGTCCGGAACGTCTGACAATGCGGCCGCTGCGGCCAGTATGAGAAAGCTGACGAGCTACTTCCACTGTAAGGAAGACCTAGCCATGCTCCAACCGGAAGATATCACAAGTATCTGCGAGGCGTCGTCAGCCAATCTTGACCGAACGAGCCCAGCAACAATCGCCGAGCTGGAGCTGGCTTCATTCATTATCATCAAGCGCGTGCTCGCGGCCATCACCCCCGAGGAGGCACAGAGTTTGTCACCGCCTCATCTGCGCACCTTCTACCAGTACATGCAGCGCACCTATGATCTTGGCGTACAGGGAAAGATTCTCCATCAACAGGCTATCGCGGATATCGACTGGCTCCGAACCAGCCAGGATGTCGAGGACGAGATTCTAGCTCGGGTCTCTCAGACAACCACCGACGGTGCAGTCCTGCATCAGCATGGCCTCAACCTGGTCGGCATTCTGCGAGGCAACGCTCTTCCACTCGAGGTACTGATGAAGGACAATCTTCTGCACGATTTCTACTCGAGCGGGGTGGGTTGCCCTCAGAACTACGCCAAATTATCCGAGTACGTCGGGCTCCTGGCTCATAAGCAGCCGGACATGAAGATCTTAGAGGTCGGTGCCGGGACGGGGGGAGCCACGCTTCCCTTGCTCGAACGGCTAGGAGGACACAACGGCACCAGTCCCATGTTCTCCAACTACACATTCACAGACATCAGCGCTGGGTTTTTTGAGAAGGCCCATGTGAAGCTCAAGTCCTGGGCGCCCTTTATGACCTACGCTCGGCTCAACGTCGAAGAGGATCCAGTGGCTCAGGGGTTTGCCGAAGGGGGCTACGACCTCATCGTCGCCTCCAACGTCCTGCACGCCACACGATGCATGGATACCACGCTTGCAAATGTGAAGAAGCTCCTGAAGCCGTCCGGTACGCTGATCCTCAGTGAGATCACCAACCCGCTCCTGCGTGCGACGATGATTGTGGGGTTGTTGGAAGGATGGTGGGTCGGAGAGGCCGATGGTCGGAAATGGGGCCCTGTCCTGACCGAAGCTGAATGGCATGAGGCCTTGCTGCGAGCGGGATTTAGCGGCGTGGACGTCTGTCTACCGGATTGGGAGGATCCCCGCGATCATTTCCTGTCTGTACTGGTTTCTTCTGCTGCCGCCTCGAGAGGGCACACTGTGCCTGCAGAGGTTTTAGTCGTTGTGCCCGAGGCTCCGACAGAAGAGGTGCGAAGGTTGACGACGGCCTTGTCGGCCAGCTTACAGGCGGGCGGTGCGAGGGATGTTACAGTTACGACCCTTCAAGACATCCCTCCCCCAGACGAGCTAAAGAACAAGTCCTCGGTGACGCTGCTTGAATGCGACTCCGAGCACCCCTTCCTGCCGGAGGTTTCTCCAGAGGAGTGGGATGCATTGAAAGTCCTCATCCTTGAGTCCGCTGACGTGACTTGGGTCTCCCGAGGGGCAGTCACCACGAGCGAGTCCCCCTTTGCGAACCTGATGACAGGCATGGCGCGTAGCATCCGTGCGGAGAACCCGCAGCTTGCCTTCACCACGGTCGATCTCGATCCACAGCGGTCAATGGATTCCCCACGGGGGATCAAAGTCCTGATCGACATCTTCGTCCAGGGTGCATGCTCACGGGAGAGTCAGAGACCTGACTGGGAGTATGCTATCCGGAACGAGCGGGCGATGGTTCAGCGAATTCTCATGGAGAAGGGCATGAACGATTTGATTGCCACGTATAACGTCGCTCCTCAACCGAAGATGGCTCCTTTCAAGCAGAAAGGGCGTGCATTGACGTTGTCCGTCGGGACTCCCGGCCGACTTGACACGCTTCAATTTGTCGATGACCCCGTTGTCGCGAGAGAGGATGTAAAGCCAGATGAGGTCGAAATTGAGGTGAAGGGTGTTGGGTATGTCATTATCCATCCAGTTCAACGGGCAACAGCCACTGACGGACAGGTAGACTGAACTTCAAGGATATCATGGTTGCCATGGGACAATTACCACAGCCGGCTCTGAAAATCGACTGCAGTGGTGTGGTAACCCGGGTGGGCAGTCAGGTTGACAACCTCCGTCCTGGAGATGCAGTGATGACCTGGCGCCCTGGTGCATTCAGCAACTATCTCCGTTCGCCTCAAAGCATGGTGCACCGAATCCCTGATGGAATCAGTTTTGCCACGGCAGCCTCTCTCCCCGTCGTTTATAGCACCGCCCACTACGCTCTGCACTATGCCGCGGGATTGCGCGCCGGGGAGAGTATCCTCATCCACGGGGCCGCTGGAGGTACGTTTCTGTTCATGCAGAATGCCTGCAGCCTAAAGGAGCAAAGAGGCTGACCCAATGAATAGGTGTAGGACAAGCAGCTATCATCCTCGCGCAGCATATCGGCGCGAAGGTTTTTGCTACCGTCTCCTCGGAGACCAAGAGATCGCTCCTAGTTGACAAGTACGGGATCCCGCAAGACCACATTTTCAATAGCAGGGATGTGCAATTTGCACAAGGTATCAAACGAATGACCCACGGCCGAGGCGTTGATGTGGTCCTGAACTCGCTGGCTGGCGAAGCGCTGCGACAGTCGTGGCACTGCATTGCGACCTGCGGACGGTTTGTTGAATTGGGGCAAAGGGATATAGGTAAGTTGTGCTGGAACCCAGCTGGCAAGGCTCTACCGGGCACGACCTGGCAACTGGCTTCGTCTTTTAGTGGGAAACACCGGCTTGGACATGGCACCTTTTATCCGAAACGCTTCCTTCCACGCCATCAACATGCTTGCGGTCCTGGACGGGCACCTTTCTTTAGCAGCTCAAGTGTTCTCGGATGTCGTGGGTCTCCTCGACCGAGGTATCATTAGGCCTGTCCATCCCGTCGTCTCGATGCCATTCTCAAAGATGGAAGAGGCATTCCGCCTGATGCAGACGAGCCAACATCTGGGCAAGATCGTTCTGGAACCCACCGAAGACGAATTGGTTCCGGTGCGACCACCTTCTTTCTCTTCTCTGGCCTATCGAATTTGACTATAGACGCTGACTACTTCTTCAATAACAACAGTGCATCCCACCAAAAGTCGCACCATATGAATTCGACGCTCACTCGACCTATATCCTGGCGGGCGGTTCTGGCGGACTGGGAAGATGCCTGGGCCGATGGATGGTAGAGCAAGGGGCACGTCATATCGTCTTCCTGTCCCGATCCGGGCTGAAGAAGCCTGAACTGCAAGAGACAGTGGAGATGTTGCAGAAACGCGGCGCCAGGGTGGCTGCCTACCCGTGCGATGTGAGCAAGGAAGCCGACGTGGCTGCTGCAGTAACAATGCTTGCGAATGAGTTTCCTCCAGTCAAGGGTGTCATTCAGGGGGCAATGGTCTTGAATGTAAGGGGACACCAGGAACGGCTTTATTGTCTCCATCGCCAGGCTAATAGATCTCCTTACAGGATGCAATTTACCAGAACATGACGCAGCAACAGTTCATGGGCGCTGTTCGGCCCAAGGTCCAGGGAAGCTGGAATTTGCACAAATATCTGCCTCGGGACATGGACTTTTACGTGCTGCTGTCCTCCAGCGTTGGTATTGCCGGTTCCAGAGGACAAGGGAATTATTCCGCTGGTGAGTGTTGCATTCTACAGTCTCAATGCATTGTCTGCGAAGGAGCAATCTACAGGCATACCTATATGATGAACACTGTATATGATGCAGCTACTGACGAGACCTTTTAGGGAACTCCTTCCAAGACGCACTGGCACATTACCGACAGCTTCACGGGCAGCACGGGGTGTCCATCGATGTTGGCATGGTGCTCGGCGTGGGCTTCCTGGCCGATAACACAGAGGAGCGGGTCCACGACAACACCAAGACGTGGAGTTTTATCGGGATCCGCGAGAAGGAATTCCTCGGCATGGTCCAAGCCGCCATCACCGGGGTGAGCATCAAAGGACAGCCTGTTCCCCCTCAGCTGGTGACCGGCCTCGGAACGGGCGGGATGATGGCCCAAGGCGCGGAGAAATATCCTTGGTGGTTCAATGACGCCAAGTTCGCTCACCTTGTCCAGGTCGATACGCATCAGGTCGTTCAGACCAAAGATGAGGATTCGGCGCAGCTGCAAGCACTGCTATCGCGCGTTACGACCATGGATGCTGCAGCCGAGATTGTCTGTGCGGCGCTAATTGGGAAATTGGCCAAATCCATGATGATGCCCGTCAAAGATGTCGAGGCGTCGCGTCCGGTAAGCAGCTATGGCGTAGACAGTCTTTTGGCGGTGGAGTTGTGAGGATGGATCTTCACGGAGCTTCAGGCGGATGTGTCCGTCTTTGACCTGCTGAGCAACATTCCGATTAGCTCGCTGTCGCGAAGGATCGTTGGCAGATCTAAATGTATCCCGGACGGGGTGGTGGAGGCTGACAACTGATGTTGTTAGTAGAAACGACGTCCAACTCTCGGAGATTTGTAAAGAGTATTGGCCACAGAAGCTTCGTTTAACTGAATGTACATAATATGAGCTCGCCAAAGCCTGGCTACTGCCAGTTCCGAGCCAATGCTGGATCGATTCTTTGTTCGTCCTGCCACAGAGGTTCCTGGAAATGCTGCATAAACTATCAAGAGTCCTACGTGCTGGGGGGAATAATGAGGTATCGAAGGAATTCAAGGAAGAGACAGCATGTAACTGCCGTTCTAGCCACGAAAGCGGCCAATTGAGTATCCAAAGCGTCTCCAAAGCCAGGCGAAATATGGAGTAACGGCCTGAGCGAGGCCAGACAGGGCAAATGAAGAAATCCCTACCGCTGGCTTACGAACCATAGTCTACGGCCTTGTCTGAGATAAGCCGTTGTTTGGTTGATATGCGGTGGCAGGGGAGGTTTAATGTATGGCATGACTCGCAAGGTCCAACATGTCCTAGGAGGTGTACAATTCGTAGGCGGATTCTGACCAATGCCAACCACGTACATAACAGCTTAGTCTGTTGGTTGGGGAAGAGCCGCGTAAACATGCTGACATGGAGTGGGATCATAGGATCATAATTGCGGAACAGGAGGCCCGCATGTATTCCAATCTCGATACCAATTGCCGTTTAGAGGTTCTGCGGAAGGAGATCAAGCGTTGTTATAGTTGCCATATAATAATGATATGCTAACCTAGTAGATGCAGGCATTTGCCTTTCTCCTATGCACAATAACCCCTCACTTTCACACCAGTGCATTATGTAGCAATCATAATGGCAACCACAAATTCTCCTTGGTGGATATACGGGAATGAATCCTTTCAAACCATGGAAGTGATACTCGGCTGTGTGATTATTGTAGACTAGAAATAGCTCGAGGACATGAAGTGATAGCCGTCCAGATTCATCCGAATAATACGGCTCGAAGTCCGACTCGTCCTATTAGGCAAAATCCAGTAGCAACAGCGTTTAAACTGAACTATTGCCTCAATGATTTGAACCCTGTCTTACCAGCGGTTGTCCACATTAAACGTTGTCTGATATTGGAGCGGCCCGTTCCTTCGATCAGGGGAAATTACGCTACAAGATCAATCGGGTCGTTTGTGTAGCACTGTAGTTGATCTCGTCACTTCTCAGAGGACGGGGATTAAGCCACCAGGTACCGTACTCTTTGGAAGTTGTCAGATAATCTGTTAGAATATTATGCCACATTGCCGGCCAGGGATATGTAATCCGCTAGATTAAGGAGAATAATATAATCTATGTACATGAGACAAGGCTCACCCAGGTAAGCAACGCAAAAAAGGATCTACCCACTTGTGGGCAGGCTAGGACCATTACAAGTCCTCAGAGGCCACTTAGGTTGGTATGTGCCGACGCACTGCGGGTGAAGGGGGTGGGAATATTCGGGCTATAAGGAAGACAGTCGGGGGTTCTCTCCATGGTCGCCTCTCTGGTTGTAGACCCAGATAGAAAAGGAATATATGGAAGCACTATCTGGAAAGTTGAGAATGAACAGATGTACACTAATAACTGTATCTATCAGGGGAACCAAGGCAGAGAATGCAAGAGGTGTTGATGAAGGGGAATGGGCGCTAGTGATAATAAGCACGCCATTTCTCTTTATCTCTTATTACCATTGGTGGTCAGCTCCATGTTGGGCCACAAAAGGCACCGAGATGAGATACATGTCTTGCATGGATTAACCTTGGCAAAGATGACACCTCATCGACATCCAATCGATCCCCGAGTCCCTGTGGATACCATTTTGGGGTTATCGCTATCTCTACATATACTCATTCATAGTGTCCTGGATTGCCGAGATTCCATACCTTGCATCTCCAACGACAACAAGGCCATGAAATTCCTCTGCCTCCACGGAATGGGAACCAACTCCCAAATCCTGCAAATCCAACTCATTGGAATTATCAACCAACTGCCACAGCACGAGTTCATCTTCGTCGATGGCCTCGAACCCTGTCCACCCGATCCAGAAGTCAAGTCTCTATGGCCCGGGGGTCCGTATCTGTGCTATTACACTACCCCCATCCCCGAACACTTGGAAGAAGCCTACTCCCTGGTCTTGGAAGTTATGGCGGAGGATGGCCCGTTTGACGGCGTGATTGGCTTCTCGCAGGGCGCTGCACTTGCCGCATCGATGATTCTCCAGCACCAAAAGGACCAGCCAACCGCCGCGCCACTGTTCAGCCTGGGCATCTTTCTTGGCGCCAGTCTGCCCTTCGATCGAGACTCGACGCTTGCGCGGCAAAGTGTGGTGGCTAGCAAACATCAACCGAGTGGATACGTTGGCGGCAAGGAGGAGCATGATCTCCTCATACTCCAGCGGTATGATCCGCGCACGACATCGCTGCGGATTGACGTCCCCATACTGCATGTTGCTGGAAAGAGGGATCCTTTCTACCAGCAGAGCGAGTTGTTGGTTGGCCTCTGCTCGGCAGATGCTGCCTCTGTCATACATGATGGCGGTCATTTTGTACCCAAAGATACGCATTCCACGGCCAGGATTGTCAGATTGATCGATGCCATGGTAGGCAGAGTACAGCACCGGTGTTGAGGAGATTTGTACCTTGCTATCGCCTAGATTCTAGATACTATTGATCTGATCTATGCTTTCTTGGCGACCGTTGGACTCATGTTCGTGCAATCAATTTCTGAATCCAACTTCGTAGCCCGTCCAGCCTATTTCTTGTTTGATTTATGTCAAGCGTCATCCTGGCTTCTGCAAATATACTACAGTCGGTTACTACATGAAGCAATCGTCCCAGTTGTCCAAGATGAAAGTTCATCACCGTGTATCGGACAACGGCACCCACCCTTCCTGTAGTATGGGACGGTGGACGATGCACTGCCGACGGGAAGTTCTGGACGGATGACCCCTCGCAATGCCTTTCAAAGCTGCTTCCGAAGATTGAATCACGTCGGTCAGGGTCATTCACCCCTTGGAACAGGAGCGCCTTGTCCTCTGGTCCCGCGGCCAGAAGCTCGTATATCTCGATGCTCATGCACACTGCAGTCAGGGCAAGCATCAGCGTTCCCTGCCCGCTTGGCTGTGGCTCCTCAGGAAAGGCATTCCTGCTTGGCATGGAGCTTGCCCCCAGTTGTGTAATGATCTGGACAGTATCACACAGTGCCGATATAGTTGAAAACAGTTCGTCGAGCGATCTGTCGGTGCTCGACGTGCCTCGCTTCAACGACTGGCGCTCTTCATTGAGACGGAGCAGGATGGGAGAGAGCTGACCGTAGACATCTAGTCTCCAATCAGCCAGAGAAGCTGTCACTCGCTGCATTCCTTCAAGGTCCGGATCCATCAGCGCATAGTCCGCTGGCCATGAGGACTCGGAGACCATCGATAGAGGGGCGAGTGTTCAGTCACTGGTAGGCTATCCGATGCCAGAACTGGACGGGAAGACCAGCCTTCATGCTGACCTGACTCGAGATGCGGCGTCGCAAATATCGGCCTGTCAGTCTCACACGGGAGCAATTGTCAACCTTCCCAATCTTCTCCAGTGATCACACTATGCTACCTGAGGCAGGGGAAACTCACTGCACTGGCGCCCTCAGCTGACCAGTCGCCGACATAGTAGACGACCAAGAATGCTATCTCTGCCAGATATCTCACAGCGTTGGAAGAAATAGATCAAACTACAGGGTCCTATCATGGTATCCACAGAGACTCAGGGATCGATTGGATGTCGATGAGGTGTCATCTTTGCCAAGGTTAATCCATGCAAGACATGTATCTCATCTCGGTGCCTTTTGTGGCCCAACATGGAGCTGACCACCAATGGTAATAAGAGATAAAGAGAAATGGCGTGCTTATTATCACTAGCGCCCATTCCCCTTCATCAACACCTCTTGCATTCTCTGCCTTGGTTCCCCTGATAGATACAGTTATTAGTGTACATCTGTTCATTCTCAACTTTCCAGATAGTGCTTCCATATATTCCTTTTCTATCTGGGTCTACAACCAGAGAGGCGACCATGGAGAGAACCCCCGATTGTCTTCCTTATAGCCCGAATATTCCCACCCCCTTCGGCTATCGCCCCTCCCTTGCGGCCGGTATTATCTTTTTGATCCTCTTTTTGGCGGTCACCATTATCCATGTGTGGCAGTCCTTTCGGCATAGGAACATCTGGCTTGGGCTAGCCTTCTCCCTGGGTGCATTCGGCGAGTTTACCGGATGGCTGGGCCGTACCGTGGCATATCGCTGTCCGTATTCAGTCAAGTTGCTCGAGATGCAGCTGGCCGCATTGATTATGGGTAGATGCCCCCCTTTCCTTTTCACTGTTGAGAACTAGCTATAACGATATGAACAGCCCCCGCGTTCACCACAGCCGGCATCTACGGCGTCCTGAGCCTGATGATCCCCATCATCGGACAGGACAAGTCCCCCCTCCGACCAAACCTCTATCTCATCATCTTCATGACGGTCGACTTCTTCAGTCTCCTCCTCCAGGCCGTTGGCGGCGGTCTTGCCGGCGCCGCATTCAGCCAGAACACCTCCCCCTGGCCGGGAACCTATACCATGGTGGCCGGGATAATCTGGCAACTGGTCTCGACCTGTGTCTTTGCTACATTGCTCGAGTACGTGATCTACCGAGGACTAGGCCCGATTTCCCGGAATCAAGCCCTGCGGCGAATCTCGCTGTCGTTGATGATTGCGGTTACGTGTATGGTGGCGCGGGGCGTGTATCGGAGCATGGAGCTGATGAATGGGTGGCGGGGGTATCTGTTTACGCACGAGGTGTACGCGATTATTCTCGATGCGGCGCTGATGTTCATTGCGAGTTTGGTGCTGTGTGTTTGGAACCCAGCGGCTTTGATGGTGGATGCGAGGGAGAATACGAGGGAGATTCAAGCTGAGGTGGAATTGAGACGTGAGCAGGGTGCGAAGAAGTGACCAGATATCTATACTCGACAGAGGCTCAAGACAGTATATTATCATTATCAACGAACATGATACAGGGTAATAACTAAGGTAACTAAGAACTAATGTTTAACAAACTGACTATCCTCCTCCAACCACTTCTCGAAATCCTTCAACCCGGGATACATCTCCCTCAACCTGGGAATATCAGCCCGGTAGCCATGCGCATAGAACCACTCAAACATAAGCCTCATGTCCTTGGCCATCCACATCACCATATAACAAACCACCCGGAACGTCGTCGGCGCCTCCCTTCCCATCTTCCGCCGCATCACCTCCTGCATATGCTCATACGTAAGCACATCCCCCGCCAACGACAGACACCGGTTCCGGTACTCAGCCGGGTTGAGAAACGCCTGCGCAGCAAAATACCCGATGTCACTGACGGCGATACAATGCAGCGGCTTCCCCTGCAGATACGCGTCCCACGCCGTCACGACCAACCTCCCCATGAAGTCCGGGGTGATGTTGTCGAAGAAGAACACCGGCCTCAGCACCGTCCAGGACATCTCCGCATCCCGGGTCCGCTCAAAGAGATGCTGCTCGATGCGGTGCTTGCTGATGAAGTGCGGGATGTTGGTGGCATTGTCGACGGACGCGTCTCCGCCGCGGTGTCGGCCCGGGAGTACTAATTCCTAAAGATCACCTAGCTCTTCAGACGCGACTTCGTCTTTCGCTTCGCTGGACGCCTCACGACCTCCAAACTCTATAGCAATTGTGTCATTGTTGCGAATGTAAATACACGTATTCGCATCTGGGCATGAATCAGCTTCTGGAGCGACAGACCAATTTCCTCACGCTCATATTGCTCTTCAAGCCTCCGAACCTTGAAGATATTGTTAAGGATCTTCATCTTCATCCCGATCTCCTCTTTTGGAAGTAGCTGCCGCCTATAATCACCAGCGACTTCTTGCAGCTCGCCACAAGTTATTCCCCGCCCGCCAAGCTTTCGCAAGATATGTATCAAGAGGCGAAGTCGCTCTGACATAACTTGTAGGCGCCTTATGGAGCGAGCCGAGCTCCGAACAACTTACGGTCCTTCAACAGATGGTCTGGTTCCTTGTGAGGAACATCAGAAGGCCACCAATCCGGCTTCGTGCTTTGTGGATCACCCTTCAGACGTTTGAGACTCTTGTAAGGGTGCTTTGCCCGTTTTTGCGGCTCAATGAACTTAATGAAAGCTTTGGCAATTAGCCTGCAGTTATACTGCCTCAACTGTTTGAAACAAGACTTATATTACGCGACGATTTTTGTCGTATCTCCAATCATCAAAGCCTTCTCCGTAAATGATTCTGAAGTCTCCTGTAAGGGGTGGGAAAAGCGCTCTGAGGACACCCCAGAATCAGAATTATTAACAGAAGCCTTGGGGCATTTCACCTGGTGATGGTAGGTCGTGTCCTGGGGTTCACTGTATCCGCAGGAAGTAGTAGGCACTCCTAATACCGAGCTCGTTAGCTGAGAAATAAAACTGGCGGGGACTCTTATCATAGCGCAGACCAAAGACTTACAATGTCCTTGCTCGGATCGCTCCAATATTTCCATAAATCTATTTTGTGCTTCGGAAGTGAAGACGGTCCCGTGTCCCTGGATAGAAGGAGACTCGACGACCCCGAGCTGACCCATATGGTCAAGGTAAATCGTGGCATAATGCTCGAATGGAATATTGAAGGATGTCTGAGAAATTTCCGTTAAGACTCTCACGCCAATGTGATTCGCTTACCGGTACACGTCTCCCCACGTTGTATAGTCCCCCGGCGGAGACGGCAAGGGTTGCTCAACTGTTCCATTCCGGGAGACGGAATAGCTAGGTGACATTTCTCCCTTAACAGCGTTAAAGCCGTCCTGGGGTATCACATTCTCCATCTCCCGTGCCGGATACCCTACACCTACTGGCTGGCCCGAGGCCAACATCGGCGTCCCTTGGAGTCTGGCAGGGAAAAAACTCTCCGGATCAACTTGGCTCCTAGTAAGAGGCCAAACGGGATCCGTTACTCTTCTCCTCAGGCCGTGGGCCATCGACTCCCCAGACGCGTCGGAGGCGGGATACGTCACGGCCATATCTTCCTGCGCTCGGGACATCGTGGGCATTGGAGCCCGTCTTGGCGAAGCAGGTGCTCTTGGTTGAACAAAGTGTGTATCTAAAGCGCCGAAGTTCAGTGGCTGTATGTTGGCTGCCACGGCGGCCATCGAAGGATGTGTCCCACTCCAAAGACTGGGAGTCATAGTTGTAACCATTCCAGCTGGCAACGTGCTTGCCATCGAGGGCGGGTAGGATGTGCCTGCGGACACAACCTGGAGCGCGGAGACTGAGCATCCACAAAATACTATCGTCAGCTTATCTAGAAGTTCCGACGTGCCCTAAGACAATTGATGCACACCTGATGTAGACTGTGCCACTGGAGTTCCCATCTCTGCATTCAGGGTTACTTCCTCCCCAACGCGCAGGAATTGGCAGTCCTTCTGCCGCAAAATGCAGTGTTCGCATTGCGCCTGGGCGCCATCCGCAGCGATGACACATCTCCTTTTGAGCTTTCGGCAATGCACTTGAAACGGTGGCATAAGGAACTGAACTGAGAAGGATAAGACTGCTGAGATTGGCAAAGCAAAGTTCTAACCGCATGCAACAAGCGTGCGCTTGCTTTTGCTACGTTTCATTGCACTCTCCACAGTTGCTGGCTTCGCTCTCAGGGTAGTGGACAGGAAGGATGGGGGAATTAATTAGGAGTCGGACCAAACAAAGACGGACTCGGAAGTAAGAGGAAATCCAGTACTTGCTGGAATCGATGTGTAGTGGATGCTAACCGGGGAGTCCTCGCATGAAATCAGACGAGATGTGGGAGATATATCATTAGTATTGCTGAGAAGCGAGCTGCTTCGGGCCTTATTAAATTATTATGTGTACTTTAACTCCAGCTACATATGTTACCTTGGTTTCTTAGTTCCATAACTGTTCGCGTCCTACAATAACCAAAGTACCCTGCAGCTGCCAAGATGACAAGCGCGCCATGCCGTATATTCCGGGATGTAACCCCTGGTCGTCACTCATTCTTATGTAGATTGTTCCCGCTTACGTTGTTAGAGCGTCCTGGTTTGCAGCAAAAACACTCTTTGCCTAGGTCCTATCGTGTCTCCTGTACTCGCGGTTGTCCTCTGTTCATCTATGGTAGCGTGGCGATATTTGCGAGTCCCGGATGTTTCGGCCTTGGTTACTCAGAAGAATCTCGAATGTTTTCTCCTTTGATCCTTAGACTACCAGCTCCCCGGGCACCGAATGTTACGAAATTCGAGCTTGGTGGCTTCTAGTTTCTATTGAGAGTACGCACCTAACAACTTAAACCAGAGATTTCGCTATGAGCAGTTAGTTGATATGTTGTATTTGCCTTCGTTCTGTCGCATAAATTCCGCTCATTAACGGAAGGACATCTTCTACTGAGTCACTCAGACGTTTGTCAAGCAACTGATAGGTAGAGAAGGAATATCTTGAGCTCTTGCCCAATCTCCTCCAATATAAACTCGGATGAGGGCCGCCAGAAGTAGAGTAGCCACAGCTTCTCTAGGCTCAAACTTTGTCGTCAGATGCCTGACCCTTATGGTAGTTACTGCACAGCCACAGCTGATTACATACCGACTGTTACGAAGCCAAATACAATCGTATCTTGGCTGCTGACACGCCGGTACGTAACTGTCTGTAACAGATACGTATCCTTCACCTTACCCTTTCGGACTTTTGTTCATCCCTTATGCGAACCAGAGAACGGATGGTATCGAATCAGTTTTCATCAGGGCTGGCCTTGATATCACAGCGTTTCTTTCCGGTTGAAGCAATACTTATCGCTCAGGTAAGAGTGTTACATTCGAGGTACTCTATATTTACTCGAATGTCGTGGCCATCAATGTTGGAATTGGCGGTTCGTTATTGACTAGCCAGAGTTTCTCATGTGAGTGACATGTATCGCACCGAGTTCCTCTGACATCCAAAGAATGTTTGTCTATATTCTGGGGCCCTAAGAGGTTAGCTTATGTTTGAAGAGGAACTCTTCTCTTGTTTTTGTTGTCGAGAGCTAAATTAACCTCGTTTTCTTCGGTCTAGCTCGGATGTTATTTGATCAAGGGTCATCGTATCCTCCACGCCTACTACAGCCAGGCTTCCGTGCAGAGCAAACATCCAAGCACTTAATAGACTATAGCGCATCGGGATCTCTATCCTTTGCATGTCGTCCAACCAAAGCCACCCCATCTACGCAGAAGTCGAGTCTCATTCGAAGAACATCTACTCGCCAGGCCTCAGCTGCCCAGCCTCAGCGTAATGGATGAGATATCGAAGACACCCTTGTGTACATACTTCTATTTTTCGAACACTTACGTGCAAAGGAGCTGAGGAAGAGCCTAGGACTGATGCGAGACCGAGGAGACCAAGAAAGTCATTGCGATCCTTTTGCCCTTGTCTGGTGGGTCACGTGTACCTCCAAAGACCAGGTCAGGCCAAAGAATGTGTCGAGAAACCGTGAAAGGGACCCATGGATCTCTCTACGGTCAATGGTAGGTGTAGGATCCAGTACAGTATGTATCATACACAAGTCGGGGTTGCAGGCTATGGAGGGCCTTCTCTCTCGGCTTGCTGACCTGTAGTGCATTGTATGTCCTAAGCCATGTAACAAATATCCGACTGCCAATCCCTTGCTGGCCTATCTTCTCTTCCGTTGCACATTAGCAATAACAAGCATTCTATAGTCACGTCTCCTGGACATTCCGTCCTATGCTCTTCTCATTTCCATGGATGGCAGTGCCCGAATGGTGCCGCGATAAGCACCCGCTCCAAGACCTCGCTCAGACTGAGGTACCGGGGATACTGCCCTGTCTGCTAGTTAAATAAGAGTAAAGGATGAATTACATCGGCCATTGCTGCTCTGAAGCGTAGCCAGGACGAGGATTTTCTCCGTCTATGGAAGTCGAAGTCTCGGCATGACCTGGTGAATATTCCACTGTGGGAAGATATTCCAAGCGACCTTCCTCTGTTCCGGGTTTCCTGCCTTCGGTCTTTGAGGCTACGGAACTGCGCTAATGAGCTGCGTCTTTTGGGGGATCTGCCACGGCGCAATCTATGCAATGGGCTGAATATTTGGAAGTAAGTTTTGATGATAGGGTAGGCTTAGCGATTTCTGTAAGCACAGTGCAGCGTAACGAGCTTGCGCCTTTTATGCTCATTTTTGCGAGTCTGTTCTATTCCTAATATCATAAGCGAACAAAAAATCGTAGACCCATGTATGTCATTAGGCCAACGTGAAAACTATGCCCCCAAGAAAAAGAGGACTGATGGCTAGGCTTGGCTTTAACGACTTTTATTTGGCTGTCATGTGGTGCTCAGGGTGAATAATCAATCCTACTCTGTCCGTGTTCAGGCAATTATCAGTGAGTGATCAGGGTGTATCCGGAGAGCTCCGGGACTGCTCAGGGAGCGATCAGGGCACGCACTCTCTCTCCGGTCACGATCCTGCTGGCTCAGTGAGCAAAAAGCGGCGGCACTTCGGACCGAATCCGGAAATAGAAAGTCAAACAGTTTCCGCAGAAAAACAGTTCAGTAGTCCATTATTGAACTGTTTTCCTGCGCTTCTGGCCCGGTTGCCCGATTCGGGTGCCGCCGCTTTTATGTTTAAAGACTTAGAAATACCTCTTTTCACTGTGGACTTACATTGATGAAGGTAGCAAGTCTTCAAACCTTTCTTATTATTAGTAAAATAAGAGTTTTGTATAATAGTATTATACCTTATTTAGTGTATCCATAATTCCACTTAAATCACTCTTTTTCTGGAGAGATTGCATACTTTGATCGGATCATTCCCTTTCTATAGAATCATTAACTGGGTTCACTTTCATCTTTCTAAGCAGTTGATTTAAACTAAGCTAAATGTCACACCCTGGGATCCGTCTCTGCTGTTCTCTGCTAGTCAACTACTTTGGGAAGGGGTGATATAGTCCCTGGACTATATCCGATACTTGCCTGAGGCCTACCGACCAGGTAGCCTGACGATGCAA